CCCCAAAAATGAAGAGAATGAGCTTTTATATGCAGTGCCTCATTTTTATGTGACTGTGACCCCCAAATCAATCCTTTTAGTGATAGACGTGGGACATGCCGTTAGCTTTTCCAACAATTTAGATCGGTTTTGGTTTTCATCGTTGGTCATTCTAAGAATTCCAATGAGTAGAAGGATCTCGTGGGCAAAATAAATTTGCTTTTCCCCCTGTATATTTGTAGTTTATAGCAGCTTTCATTTTTCTTTTATTTTGAAAAGCAGAAATGCCTTTAATCACATTAGGTGTGTTCCTTCTTCGTGGAAGCCAGGAAAGAGGTCCCCTTCCTTTCTCTCATAGCTCTGTAGTTGGAAATTTGGTAACTACTAAATTTTAAGTTCTGGCATTTGTATGGAGAAGCCATCCATCTGCTGGCGAGACATACTGCCCGGGGCTTTTCGAGAAATCCCTTAATAGTCCTAAACACTAATAATATTTATATACATTGAGATGAGACAAAATTTACAGCAGGCTTCTGGGGCTGACTCCAGGACTCTCTAATCCTGAATTTCCCGCGTGTTTTCCTGCCTCCCAGAATCCTCGGGTTCTGCTCTGGCCAGGGGAACACCAGCTTCTGTCCCTGGAGCAGTCTCTTATTTACAGAGTTTGTCCTCTAGCAAACAGGTCACCTCTCCTTTCTCCCCACCCCCCATCACACTCCATTCTTATTCCCCTCGAGTAGTCGATAGGTGTCGGGCAGTTTGGATCACGTACCATAAAGGAACCCCTTGATTTGTGATCCCTATAAGAGGAATTGTTCTGCTTATAAATAACATGATTTTACCTAATTTAAGCTTTGTTGAAATTCCTTCTGAAGGAGCTCTCCTTGCCAAAACAAAACCCTAATTCCCCAGCCTGCATGCTGCTTGTGGCAAGAACTGACTGACCGTGCATTTCCACGTAACACACGCCTTTGAAGGGTCTCGGGGGACCGCTGCCCAGAGATGCCGTTTCCATCGGAATGGGGAATGGAATGCAAAATACATCTGCAGATACTTTGTCAGGTTTGGGGGATTTCTTTTTTCTTTCTCCTAGTGGAGATGCCCAACATTTCATGTGGGTATAGCTGATTCCCAGCGAGTGCACAGGGATATTTTTTTTCTATTCTTTTAAGTGCTCTCGAGTTTTTAGTACTATTTATTTTTTTATTTTTATTTTTTTTTAAGATTTTATTTATTTATTTGAGAGAGAGAGTGAGAGAGAGAAAGAGCACAAGAGGGGGGAGCGGGAGAGGGAGAAGCAGACTCCCCGCCGAGCAGGGAGCCCGATGCGGGACTCGATCCCGGGACTCCAGGATCATGACCTGAGCCGAAGGCAGTCGCTTAACCAACTGAGCCAGCCAGGCGCCCCTTTTTAGTACTATTTAATATTAATGCCTGCCGCTTATGATTTTATATAGCATGTTACTTAAATTATAAGTGAGGGAAAGGGGGCTTGGCAAGCAGATATTGGCCCCCATTAGTCTCTGTTGGTGATCGTGAGATTCTTCATCAATTTTCCCTTCCTCCAATCACAAAGCATGGTGGTGGCTGATGGCCGGGGACTTCAGTACTCCAAGTGGGGTGTGCGCTCAGCGCAGCTGGTTCCTGCTAACACTCGAGACTCTGAACACGGGGTTCTTCAGCCAGTTTCATGTTAACCACATGAACCCAGGGGTCTATTATATTACAGAAACCTCGTAGGGGCAACACAACAAGGCTGTGTCTCTCCTCTCCCCTCACCTGATCCCTCTTCTGTCAGCTCGGCCCGCTCTGGTCGTGGTACCCTCTGTGCTGCTGCTGATGACCTCTCCATTATGAAAATCTGACCGTGTTGCTCCTCCCCTGCCGAAAATCTTCAGTGATGCCCATCACCCACCAGTTGGCGACTAGCCTCCTGCTATCTTCACGGGCACCCAGTCCTCTCACCACAGCGACTGGATTGCCTTTACACACATTTACGTGTGATTTCCTCTGTGTTATTCTTTATTCTTATCCTCCTCGTCTTTCATCTTTCAGCTCCAGCCTCAGCATCTCTGCCGAACCGTCCCTGATGCCCAGGGCATGCCATGAACCTCCACTCAAGTCTGTACTTATCTGGCATATTGCCCATTCCTTGAGGGCAGGGTCTAGCACACAGGTGTGGCACAATGCTAAATAAACACTTGCTAAATGCATCGACAACGAAAGGGTAAATGGACTTATGTTCCCGTTACTACTTTAAAAACCTGAACTAAAAGATACACAATTTATTTGTTTCCTTAGATCTTGAGCCTTGAAGTTAACCTCCATAATGGGTATATTTGAAATTAAATAGTCATTGAATCTATTTGATAATATTAGATGTCTTCACGTATGAGATCTGATGGTAGAGAGAGCGCACGCACTCATGTGTGTGTGTGTGTCTATGTATGTTTACTACAAATAACGCTAGGCTTGTAAATTCAAATTAGCGTTACCCTCCTCAAGATGATCACCTTGGTGGACAATATATGTATCACCACATTTTTGCAACTCCTATCTATAACATACTTCTTTGGTGTGCTTAGAGATATTTACTCCTTGTTATTTTTTGGGTAGCTCAGTTTCTGGAAATAGCCAGAAGTCATTGAGGCAATTCTGGTAAACAAAAGTGATATAAACCAACAGGAATGGTTTTATTCTTTGCTTATAAGTAGCTCTGAAGGTGTGTCTCAGGATTTTTCCAGTTGGGTCTAATGAATAGCAGGCACATAAATAAGATAAAAGTTTATTTCTCTCTCATATAGACAAGCCGAGAGGTAAGCAGTACAGGGTTAGCCTTTTGGGGGACCAAGATCCTTTTATCTTACTCCACCTTCTTAGTGGGCTACCTCATGTCCAGGATGGCTGCTTGAGCTTGATGCATTGCTCCTGCATTCCAGCCGGCAAGGAGCAAGGGCATGCTCACTCTGTTTTAAGGAATCTTCCAGTAAGTACCAGCCAAAAAAGTTTTCTTATATCTCATTGGCTGGGACATACGTCACTTCTAGCTACAAGAGAGGCTAAGAGATATAGTATCTAGCCAGGTGGCCAAATGCCCAATTAAAAATCAAGGTTCTATTACCAAAATAGATAAAAAGAATGAATAATGGGGGCGCCTGGGTGGCTCAGATGGTTAAGCGTCTGCCTTCGGCTCAGGTCATGATCTCAGGGTCCTGGGATCGAGTCCCACATCGGGCTTCCTGCTCCTTGGGAGCCTGCTTCTCCCTCTGCCTCTCTCTCTTTCTCTCTGTCTCTCATGAATAAATAAATAAAATCTTAAAAAAAAAAAAAGAATAAATAATGGAAGGCAACCTATGGTCTCTGCCAAAGGATAATTTCAAAGGTGAAAATTGCAAAATTATTTTAAGAAGCTTGACAGTATCATGAGAATTTTCTGTTTTCTTCAGAGGTGACAGTGTTCATTTGAATGTCCAAGTTCTGAAATTCACCTTTTTGCAGTAAAGTAGGAACTCTTGGATGCAGTTCGTGGGGTGTAAATTGGTAAAAACTTTCCAGAGGATAGTTTGATCTGGCGAGATCAATCCTGGAAATTGATCCTCAGGAAATAATTAAGGATTCTCATGAAGACTGCAGTGTTCATTGTAATAATAAAATGTTAGGAGTAAACAAAATGTCTCATAGTAGGAGACAGGTTATAACTTACACTATACTGTGAGATGCAATGTGGCTGTTAAGTGATTATGGAATTCATAGTATATTATGCCAAAAAAATGGTTTCAGGATGGCTTGTTCCTTTTTTGTAGATATTTATATGTATATTCACATGCATGGGGGGAATCCACATGAAGGTATTGATAAAGGAGGTATTTGGGGCAGATGGACTAGACGTCCTATATATTTTCATTTATTATACATATTTAAATAATTTTGTGTTTGTTTCAGAAAAAGCAGGAAACATATAATGCAAACCAGATTTCGTATTTTGTTGATTTATACTTTATTTGCTAGTGAGGCTGACAGCCCCACAGAGTGTGATCATTACATCGTTGTTATGGAAATAAAATGCCAGCTCATCTACTTGGGACATGAATTGTGGAGCTCTGCTTTTTAGACACTTCTTCACTTAAGTTTAGCAGAGTGGCTCAAAGGAGATGGTTTCTAATATGCTATGAGTCCTCTGGGCTCAGAGACACTGCCCACCACCCTTTGTTTTTTGTATTTGAGAATGACAATCAGATGCAGGGACTTGTTGGTTATGTAATAGGTTAGGCTCTGTGAATAAGTTAATACCATCATTTTTTGGAGTCAGACCTTTGGTCTACAAGCGTACACAGGCTTTTTCTAAAGCCCTTTTGTAAACCCGAATAGTATCCTCTTTACTATATTCCAGTTTCATCATTTTTTAAATAAACGGCTTTTTGAATGATTTTAAAATACTTGTCATAACATATATGATAAGATAATTTTTCAAATAATCATTTCTGCACACTAAGGCTTTTCAAGGTATTTCAAGGAACACATTCAAAATGCAGAAGGAACAGCACATAATGCTTTTAAAAGGAATAATACGCCGAATTGTTCCCATAGGGCTACTGCATTCTCATGTTGGCCTCAGGCAAACCTCTAACGTGGATATTACTACCCCCATTTTATAGATGTGAAAAGAGAGGGTCAAGGTCAGAGAAGCTAACGAGTCATCAGGAGCACACAGGGAGTAAATAGGAGAGGCTGGACTGGAAACGCAGAGTATTTTCTCCCACCTTCGTGAAACTGTGACTGCTCTGTAGCATTGCCCGTGCCTCCGAGCCTGCTGCGGGCTGCAGAGCCCTGTGATGCTCCGTCTGGGGATTTCGTGGGTGGGCGGTTGGTTGTCTGTCACTGGGGCGACCTGGTCCGGGGTGGCCGGTGACCCGGGACAAAGCAGGCCGGGCCCGGAGGAGGCCGTCCAACCCCCGTCCCAACCCCCCCCCCCCCCGACCACCACCACCGCATCTCACCTGCTGTCCCCTCCGCCCCCACAGTGTGCCCGAGCGCGTGCGGGAAGCGGGCGTGCACCGAGAACAACGAGTGCTGTCACCCCGAGTGTCTGGGCAGCTGCAGTGCGCCCGACAACGACACGGCCTGCGTGGCGTGCAGGCATTACTACTACGCGGGCGTCTGCGTGCCCACCTGCCCGCCCAACACCTACCGCTTCGAGGGCTGGCGCTGCGTGGACCGCGACTTCTGCGCCAACATCCCCAACGCCGAGAGCAGTGACTCCGAGGGGTTCGTGATCCACGACGGCGAGTGCATGCAAGAGTGCCCCTCGGGGTTCATCCGGAACGGCAGTCAGAGGTCAGCCGTGCAGCACCGCCCCCCCCGCCCCTGCACCCCCCGGCCCCCCAAGGAATGGCGACGTTGGCGCTGCCCTTGTTCCGTCGGGACCTCCCGGGGAGGTTAAGGGCCATGGGTCCACTCCCATGGGCTGGCGTAACTGACATTTTATATGAGATTCTATAGAGGGACAATTGCCCCCCCCCCCCCCAAAATAATCTGTTTGTTTTATGTTGTGTTTTGGAAGCCTACTGCCTGGCCATTTGAAATTAAGTGCCCGGCCTGCTGGCCTAGGTACCTGGAGGTCACAGTCTCCCCTCCCTGCACTTCCCAGGCTGCCTGCCAAGCAGGTGTGGGGTAGACCTGGGAGGACTGTACGTTGAGGTTGTCCCATCCCTGGTGCCACTGAGCACCAGCTCTGTGAAGTCTTGGGGAGTGCAGGAGAGAAGACAAGCCAAGCCCCGAACAGTGCCCTTGACATAGCCAGCAGACCCAAAGTCTGTTAGCACCCACTCCATCCTGTGCCCTCACTAGCTGCCACGAAGAGTAACCAGGAGCTTAAAGTAACCTGTGTTTTCCATCAGCACCTGCTCCTCTCTCTCTCTTCCTCGACACCCCCTTCTCTCAGTTTCCTCTGTCTCTCTCATTTTCTTTCCGAACATTGAGACTTCACTTGGGAAGCAAAGAGGTTCTTTACAGCAAAAAGCATCCCTCTGGTGTATGTTGGCTGGGCTTCTTTTTTTTTTTTAAAGATTTTATTTATTTATTTGAGAGAGAGAATGAGAGGGGGGAGGGTCAGAGGGAGAAGCAGACCCCCTGCTGAGCAAGGAGCCCGATATGGGACTTGATCCCGGGACTCCAGGATCATGACCTGAGCCGAAGGCAGTCGCTTAACCAACTGAGCCACCCAGGCGCCCTGTCGGCTGGGCTTCTGTAAATTTTTTGTTGGTTTATGTTTTTGAGAAAGCAATAGTGGCATTGTTATAAAATACAGAACTATAGCCCTGGAAGCAAAAGACCAGAGGCTTGGGGTAGTTTGTCCCTCCTCTAGGTAGAGCAGAGAACTCTTAGGAAAGAACAGTTTAGTGGCAGTGGGCCAGATGCTTCCTTCATCTTCAAACCACAGATAAAACTCACATTCTTTCATAATATTAGACACAGAACAACTTTCCACCTGTTATAATGTCTTTACTATTATAATAATAAAAATTATCCCGAATACTTTTTTAAAAGATAAGTATGCCAAGGACGCCCCAGTGAACTGTAAAGTATACATAGTCCACCCAGAATAAGTCAACCACATTTTACTCACAATTTATTGGTAGCCTTAGGACTTAGGAGGGCTTTCCCAGTACCCTGGGGCAAGCCTAGAACCCAGATGAGGCTCAGCCACAGTTTCTCCTGGGGGTGGGAGGAGAGATGGGACAGCTGGTGCATGAACTGGGAGTAGTACCATCTTTGTCCTGGGGATACATTGTCCTGTGATGTAGTGGACCAGCAGGAGGGGAGTGCTATACATTTCAGCGGTGTTGTTTCTCCCACTGCAGTGCATTTTCAAAGAACTGAGCTGTTTTATTCCCTACCGGTTCTTATAGTCTGTTCAAAGCTACAGATGTACCTCTTCTATTTTAAAATAAAACACCGTCAAGAAAGAATAAATACCACCCTTTAAGACCTATTTGGCACTGAGTTTAAAATACTTATTAATACTGTTTATACCCTCCCTGTACCCAAATGGATTCAAGGAAGCTTAATCTATAAACATGTAATCAGAACACTTCCTTAGAAAAACGTTTTTTTGAAGTGCTAGGTGATTCCTAGACATTTTAGTAAAGGTGTTTGGTTCAGAAATTGCTATTTGAATAAAATGTTGGGGAAAGCTAAACATACACTTAACATTACGACCTAGAAGTCATACTCGTGGACACTCCTCCCAGAGAAATGAAAATATATGTCCACATAACAACACGTACACAGTTGTTCACAGCAGCTCCATTTGTAATAGCCAAAAAAACCAGCTCAGATGTTCTACAGTAGGTAAATGGTTAAACAGACTGTGGTACATCCATACCGTGGACTATTATTCAGCCATAAAAAAGAGCAGACTTGGGATAGATCTCAAGGACATTATGCTGTGTGGGGGGAAGAAAAAAAGCCGATCTCAAAAGGTCACATACTATAGAACTCCATTTATATAACAGTCTCAAAATGACAAAATTGCAGTGATGGAATATAGATGAGTGATTGCCAGGACACAGTTAGGGATATGAGGATAGGGGGTGGCTCTACAGGAGATCTTCCTAAAGTACTTCTGTATCTTGACCACGTGAAGATCACATAAGAGATATAAGGTGACACGGAATTAGACATATATTGTACCAGTGTTAATTTCCTGGGTTTGATATTCCATTATAGTTATATAAGATGTCACCATTAGGGGAAACTAGGGGAAGGGTACAGGGGAAAAATACTCTTTGTAACTTTCTGTGAATATTTCAGGATAAAAAGTTTTTTAAAGAAGGAGAGTGGAGGCATTAAATGGTATGTAGATAAATTAGAATAAAAAACAAAACCAAAAAGTGCTGAAGAGAAGCTATTACCCATAGAGAAGGTTGAGTATGATGTTACAGGAAAGAGAAATCTTCCCTTCTGTGATTGACCCAGTTCCTTGGGAAACCTTCCCTGTCATTCTCCCCACAAGAAATAGGAAAATAGCAGGGAAATTTTGTTTACCTGTAAGTTTGTAAACAAAACAAATCCCTGCATCTTTGCCTTAGATAGGCGGTAAGGTTTCATTAAAAAACAAACTTTCACGTAAGCTATCACACTGTTTTCTTGAATGTTTTTTATTTACCTTAATGAAGTTTAAAAGATCATTCAAGAACAATAATGTCAATACACCTGGCTCCCCAATTCACTGTCCTGTTTATAACACACACACATGACATAGCGGTATCATTTGTTTGGAAATCAACCCGACTTTGATCCTTGGTCTGTGGTTCGGCAGCCAGATTAGCATTTTGTCCACGATTTCTTAAATTAATAATGGTAGGTAAGCAGGAGAAGTGCCAGTCTCACTGATTCCTGATTCCTGGTGGTTCTGCAGCTCGTTTGGGATATAGCATTTGAAACAGGAGTTCATTACAAAGTCACGGAAGTTCCTTGCTTTCAGCGCATATGCAACGAAAACAACATTTCAATCGATTTACAAGTTTCTGCAAAACACTGTCAAGAAATAATTTCAGTGAAAAAAAAAAGAAATAATTTCAGTTGTACCTTAGCAAGAAAATAATGGATCTGTGTTATTCCACATGTACTTTGGAATTCCTTGCTGGGTTTTGCTGGGATGCTGGTGGTGAGAGCGAGACTCCTGTTAGTGGCAGAGACCCCGCTGTCCCTTTGCTGTCCCAGTCCAGTCTCCCAGCTGCCCCCCCACCCCGGGGTGTGCCGGGCAAGGCCACAACACTGGAGAGCAGCCCCATTTTCCTCGGGAGCCACTACTGTGTCCTTCCTTCAAGGCTGTTTCTCCCACATGGAACCAGCTGGCTCCCCAGCCGACAGCCTCTGATACACACATGCTCCAAGGATGCATCACATATTTTGTCTGGAAACAAGAGGCATGCTTTTCCTTTGTAGGCACTTTCTTCTTTTGGTTGCAATTCGAATGGCTGATCCTGGGTGGCTTCGGGATGAGATATGGTGTGCCCACTTGAATGCTTCAGAACAGTTGCTTTTGGTAATGTGTACTGCAAAAACAACTTAGAATAAAAGGGTGTCTTCATGATTTTTTTTTTTTTTTAATGCAAGGAGCCTGACTCAGTTCTCTGTGTTTTTGGTTGATTCTTTATCTTCAACAGCATGTACTGCATCCCTTGTGAAGGTCCTTGCCCCAAGGTCTGTGAGGAAGAAAAGAAAACAAAAACCATTGATTCTGTTACCTCTGCTCAAATGCTCCAAGGATGCACCATCTTCAAGGGCAATTTGCTCATTAATATCCGCCGAGGCAGTAAGTATTCCGTCCTCCTGGACGAGAGGGCTGGATCTCTTGGTTTTCTTTTGTTGATGCTTTTCCTTCCCATCCATGACTCACAACTGAAGCCTGGGCCTAGAAAAACAACATGGGGCATAAGCCTCATGCTCAACACCTCTTTTTTGAATTTCCCTCAAAGATTAAAAACAGACACACACATACACACACACACACACACACACAAAAACCCAGATTGAAAGGCAGTCTATTTTGCAGCCATTGGCTCGGCGTTTATTCATGCCCTGGGTCATCACTCATGTTTCTGTTAGCCCTGCCTTACGCAGGAGATGCACGTCCCAACACACACAGGCCCCAGAAGACGCTGGTGGATCAAAAGTGTGACTCAGTAGCCTCCAGCTGGACCAGGGCCTCAGGACTTCAAGTCCAAAGAGTTTTGGTTACTTGGGAGGTACCGAGGAGACTGTGCAAACGGAACAGTTTAATGATACCCCTTTAATATTTTATGAAGTCCAAAGAGTGGTTAATCTCCAAATTTTCTTTGGAGAGCAAAAAAAAAAAAAAAAAAAAGTGTGTGTCACCACGTATTTAAAGCTTCGATTCTCACCCCGGTAGGATCACCATCATTTGTAGTAGACGGTTCCTGGTAATTGCATGTGTGCAAAAGCATTACTCATGGACTTATTCTGTGATATTTTCACTTCTGAGCTTTAACTGACAATGGCTTCTAGCCTTAAATTCTCCACCACTGGGACCACTTGGTCAAGGTACCTATGATAGTTTCATAACCTAGAATAAAAGTTTCTCAACCTCAAGGTTGAGGTTGAGAAACTTGAGGTTGAAAGGATTTTTTTTCCCTAAATCCTTTTGTGGAGAAATTTTTGCAGGTTGGCGTGGGGGGGCGGGGTGGAGGATGACTAATTTATTTATTCTGTGGATTTACTGTTCCTTAATACTGTTTGTTTGGTGAGTGAGCATGCTCTTATGGTTTAGAGATGGCAGAAACACATTTGTGTTCAGTCCTTTTGGATCTTTAGGTACTCCTCATTTTCCAGAACCCCTCTCACCCCTCCACCACAGAGATAACTTTGCTTTCATACAGCTAGAACTCTCTTACCCTCATGGTGCTTCTGCAGTTTTATTCCTGGGGCACCTGGGTGGCTCAGTGGGTTAAGCATCCGACTGTGGATCTCAGGTCAGGTCTTGATCTCAGGGTCATGAGTTTGAGCCTGGCATTCGGCTCCATGCTGGGCATGGAGCTTACTTAAAAAATAATAATAATAAATGAATAAATAATGAAGTTTTATTCCTTTTGCTCTTACTAGATTTCTTAATTTTTGAAAAGATGCCCTCATCCCCTAGAACATACCTTTTAAGTACCTAACTCTTCTTTTTCTTAAAATTTTCATATCCTGAAGATAAGCCTTTAATCCATGAATTAAATCCATGGAGAAGTAGAATTTGAGAAGGAATCGGTACATATTCATGCGTGGTGATGAAATGTGCCTTCTTGTTTAAGTCCAGTGGGAGATATCAGCTGGATGTAGGGTGATAAGACATCTCATTGAAAAGGACATACCCAGCCTCGACTAACAGACATCCATCCTACCGGCATTTAAAATTCAGGATCTTTTCCTTGAAATATCAACCACAGGCAACTTCTGGTGTTTATAACTTGAATTTCTCCTAGAAAACCATTAAACTCTACAATAAGCATAGTCCCCAGCCCTCCAAGATAGCATCCTTATTCTTTTATTTTTATCAAAGCAAAATAGAACCTCTCATTAAATAAGCCTTCAACAAATCATGTGCAATAAAATCCCATTAGTTGGACCATACCCAATTCATTATAGTATTTATTGTAATTTTGGCATAAGTTGAACCGAAGTTTATGTTTTTTTTTTTACTATGAGGAAAAGACAGGCTAAACAGGATGATGAGAAAGACAGTGTGTATATATTATGTTGTTTTCACATACGTAGTAGTAGCAACTATTTTTCCAACTGTCCTCTCGTTACGAAAATCATACATGTGCATTGTAGAAAACTTAGAAGCACAGAAACGAATTTTGAAAAATCAGCAGAGCAGAGAACCTGGTGTGTTAACATTTTGGTGTGTTTTCTCCCAGTCTTGGTAAGATGGACTCTTTAAATATAGATCCCTGTATCTTAGGAACTGGAAATGCAGCAAAGGCAGTTCCTAATGAGACCGAGAAAATGTTGTTTATTTAGTCATGCCCTCCTGTGGAGGCAGTGCTGTCTGTTGACAGAGCGTATTAAAAGACGTTCCCTAGATTTGTCAGCCTTAGCTAATTGGCAGTCTGGTATTTATGATTTTACATTCGGTTAATCAGCCTGGGAGCTACAGTACCCAGCCTTCTAGAAAGTCTCCTTCCCCGGCCCCTGAGGGGCCCTGTCCCAGGAGAGGTTGTTGAAAGTCAAGCCCAGGGTAGTACATTTTTGACAGGGATGGCGGGTCCTGCACCAAGACCTGCCACGGAATCATTCTCCAGACGTTTTTGTGAGAAACCGAGTCATGCTCACACTACGCGAACGCTCACTAACACGTCCCCCTCCTCACGCAGATAACATCGCCTCAGAACTGGAGAACTTCATGGGGCTCATCGAGGTGGTGACAGGCTACGTGAAGATCCGCCATTCTCACGCCTTGGTCTCCTTGTCCTTCCTAAAAAACCTTCGCCAGATCTTAGGAGAGGAGCAGCTAGAAGGGTAAGTGCTCCAGATTTCGTGGGCTGACATTCTCCTATTACAAAATAAGTAGCGTGCTTTTAAAACTCGACGTCACTGAGGCAAGGACTCTTTCTTGTTACGAAGAAGAAAGGAGGAAGCAAAGGTAAGGCCGGCGCCACCTGCGTGATGGCCCACGCCCTCGGGCAGAGTCCCGTGCGGCCATGATTCTCCATCCTTGGGATAGTGCTGTTCTGGAGAACTGTGTTGTGACCTGTCAGTCAAGGGCTGCGTGTCCAACCGTGACCATGGAAACTGCAGACTGGGGTGCTGGTGGGGACCCTCTGTGCCAAGAGCAACAGGAATGGGTCTCATGTGCTTAGCCCTTTGTGAAATCATCATTGACATGACTCTTACCCCAGGATTCTATATACTACGTAAAACCATTCCATCTTTTTAAAATACGGGGGCACCTGGGTGGCTCAGTTGGTTGAGCGTCCGACTCTTGATTTCAGCTCAGGTCATGATCTCAGGGTCATAGGATCGAGCCCCACATCAGGCTCCGCACTCAATGCAGAGTCGGCTTGTCCCTCTCCCTCTGCTCCTCCCCACTGTCCTGCTTCTCTCTCAAATAAGTAAATAAATAAAATCTTTAAAAAAAAAAAAAAAAAACAAGAAAAGAAGAAAAACAGTTGACCTTTGAACAACATGGTTTGAATTGTGCGGGTCCACTTGGACACAATTTTGTTTTGTTTTGTTTTGTTTGGATAAATACAGTATAGGACTGTAAATGTATTTTCCTTATGATTTTTTTAAATAATATTTTCTCCAGCTGACTTCATTGTAAGAATGCAGTACATCGTGCATATAACATACAAAATATGTGTCAATCAAGTGTTTATGTTATCATAAGACTTCTGGTCAACAGTAGACTATTAGTAGTTAAGTTTGGAGGATGTCAACAATTCTGTGTGAATTGGTGACTGTTCGGAGGGTCCACACCCAAACCCCCACATTATCAGGGGTAAAGTGTATACTGGAACATAAAAGATTTAGAGGAGTATGGATAGTTCATTTTGTTATAAAGGAATCCTAATTGACATAATTGTTTCATCGATGAGCCAAGAGGATTTACACTCCTGGTAGAATTTTTGCCTTCTGCAGAGATAGGCTTTGTGATATGGGTTTTAAACTCACCAGAGGCTTTTCACCACAGGATAGATAAGAGCTCGTGCTTATTGCTTTAGGTTGCTTATTGCCTGTGTGTACCTCTGCATATATATCTTTCTCTTCATACTTCCTTTAAATACAGCTTTGAAATAAAAGGAGACATCGATTAACGAGCAAATTCCTTCCAAAGAGAATGTGGGGAAATACTGTAGGAAAGAAAGAGGTGGGAAGGTCATGGGAAAGGTTGTCCTTGCTGATTTATCTGCCCCGACTGGATAAAGTTACCCCCATAAGGGTTTCTTTACAGCCTCCCTGCTTTTCTCAGACTAACTCTTGGTCAGTCTTAAATTCTTAAAATTCCATCATCTGATAGAGCTAAAGAGAGAGGGCAGCTCTTCATTCCATCCTTGAAAAGCACACTGTCCTCCCCACTGAGAACACTGATTCTCTAGGAAAAAAAACTTCTTTCTTCTTGCAAATCCAAGGAGGCTGCCATCGTGCCCAGCCCCAGAGGGTCATAAGTCATTTAACTTGGCAAGCTGAGGCTCTACCATTTTGAGGTGGTGGTTCTCATTTTTTGTATTAAATTTTAAAGTGAATTTTAGCACAGTTTTTTGTTTTTTTTCTCTCTCTCTCCAGGTAGGTTTGTGTTTCTGGAATCCCTCATGTTGGTAAGCACTTTTTTTTTTTTTTTTTTTTTGGCAGATCGGGATCTGACACTTTTCCTGCTGCTTAATGATACACATTTTCTTTCTCCAGGTTGAACAAGTGATAGACATAGAGGGGGAAACTGGAAGGAGAATTTAATTTTTTAAAGATTTTATTCATTCATTCATTCATTCATTCATTCATTCGGGAGAGAGGACAGGGGAGGAGCAGAGGGGGAGGGAGAGAAAAGAGGAGAGAATCTCCAGCAGACTCCACACTGAGCATGGATCCCAAATTGGGGCTCGATCTCGCAACCCTGAGATCATGACTTGAGCTGAAACCAAGAATCCAATGCTTAGACTGAGCCACCCAGGCACCCCAAGAATTTAATTTTGGTTAAGAATTATTACACGCTGGGATTACCTCTTAGTCATGTGTTAACTGAAAGTATTATGCCCTTATATGGAGCTGAGAACTAAGACTGATTTTCATTTGCACGGATATTTAAGGCGCATTTCTCATTATCCGAAACTTGTATAAAACCTGATATGCCAGTGGGGGCTCTTTAAGGATGCCTGCCATTGCTCAGGTGTTTGGGACTCCTCCAAGCTCAAGTATGCTTCAGGTCCCTGCTCTGCCGTTAACATTTTAGATGACAAGGGAGGGCAAACGGGCCTTAGGTTTTCATACCCTGCTGCTCATCAGTGGCCCTTGTAGCTATGAGGATGCTGGGCTTCCAGCCTTTCCTTCCTACATGCTGCTTCTTGGAGGCTCTCTCTTTAGCTGGGGTGCTTGAGAATCTTGCCTATCTTGGTGGGAGTTGGGTTCTCTCACCGACCTTTCTCACCCAGCATCAAAAAAGGTATAGGCCATCCTCACTTGTGATGAATGCCCCCGCAGCTCTTTGTATTGGCGTGACAAGTAGCAACAATTCAGCTCTTTATTGTGCATCCTCAGACTTAGGAAAGAGACTAAGTTCTAGCCCTTGACCAGCTCTCCTCACTCCTGCAAGGAGGGAAGAGTCAGAGGGAGGCAGAGAAGAAAGGAATATGATAAACAGATAAAAGCTAACAACAGTGCAAAGCAGAACTTGCAAGGAGCTATGAGGAGAAGAAAAGGAACGTGCCATGGGCATGAAAAAGAGGCAGAGAATCTGATTAAGAAGATCCCACAGGCTTTCAAGAAGAGGTGGCATTTGAGATGGGCCTTGAAGGGTTTCCAGAAACACTCAGAAAGCAGAGGGTGAAGAAAGCAGTTCAGGATAGGGCAGTAAGAACAAAGGCAGCGAGTTGGGGCATCCTGGGACCTGTTTGGCAAATAATGCTGGAGAGGTAGGTGGTATTAGAATTACGTAAGGTGTTATGCACCCGGGCGTGGAGGTTATAATTTAGGTAGGCAATGGAATGTATTCAAGGCTTTTGAGCTGCAGGAGTGTTAGCAAAGCTGCCTGGATGTTTCATTTCTGTGTGTCTTTGGTTTAAGCCAAGATAACTTTTATCCCAGTTGTTCCCAGACTTTGACGTTAGAACAACATCTTGGGTGGGGCCAGGTGTAAAAAAAAAAAAAAAAAAAAAATCCCAGTAACCCAAGATGCAATCCCAATTCAGTCAGAATGTTTGGGGGTGGGATCCAGGCATCAATGATTTTTCTCAAAAATCCAAAGTAATTTCCGTATGTAGCCAAGATTGGATACCACTGCTATGCCCTGTTATTTTTTCTTCTCATATGTGAATCCCTAAAGTGTTTTGCCTTTTTTCCTAAATATTTAAGTGTCACACTATTGCCTTTAAGTACTATTTTTCTTGAACTTCTACAGCCAGTGAGAACATAAATAAGTGCCTCCATTTGGTTCAATTGGATGGGAGTTTTATAGCATTTTGTTTTGATGGAGAACAGACGAATCCATAGTGCCGGGATCCTCTGTATCTGACTACCTTGGCTTTCCAAACTGGAACCAAGACCTCCCTCCAAGTCACCTGAGCAGCCCAGACCACTGAGTCACATCCAGAATTCAAGCACTGTAGCTGGAGTAGAGCTCTAGTCTATATCCAGAGTGAGCCAATTTTGTCATTGGATTTCCAGGGTGGTGAAATATGTAGGCAGAATCACACCCAAACAGACGGCAGGGCAGTTGGTGGCTGGAGAACAAGGCCCGGACGGCATCAGGCAGTCATGTTTGTCCATAAGAACTCAGACATCCCAGTTTCCTTGAGGATGTCACGTAGTCTGTTTACGTGATGTGTTTCTAGAGTAATAACCTTAGACATTAAGAAAATCAAGGCTTTTCTGCTGTTTAAGAAGGAAGTGGATTTTGTAATACACATGTATAAGATTTCTATAAAATGACTGAGTTTTAAGCCCTTGAGTAGAAAACAAAATATTTCTGTTATCTGGACAGTTCCTTACGGTGGACAAACATTATTTTCTTATGGCATCAGACAAAGAAAGAGGTAAAATTTTGGTTTCTTTAGTGCCACCAAGGATCGTTGCCCCGAAAAGCCTAAAAGCAGATGGAGGTGGTAGGGTTCTAAGACTTGAAATTCTTGGGTGCATTTAGGCATCTCTGTACTCATGACCCCACCACTTGACTCTGCAACACTTGGTGCTTCATTCTACCTTCCTGCAACTCTAAGATTAGGTTGCAACAGGGCTGGTGTTAATACTTCCCTGGGACTTTTAAAAATAAAGACTCAACCATGTGACTCAGCAATTCCAGGCTCTACCCAGTATCTTCCCAAGAGAAATGAAAACATGCCCACACAAGACTTGAGTGTGAATGTTCATAACAGTATTATTCACTAGAGCCCCCTACCCGCCCCCCCCCCAAAAAAAACCCACTGGAAACAATCCAGATATCCATCAGCAGATGAACGGATAAATGAAATGTGGTACAATGGAATACCATTTGACGATAATGTAACAACGTGGGTGACCCTCGGAAACGTTAAGCTAAGTGAAAAAAAGCCAGACACAAAAGGCTGCACATTGTATGAATCCATTAGTTTCTAGCAAAAGCAAAACTATAGAGATAGAAAGCAGATTGGCGAGGGCTGGGGGTAGGAGCAGAGATTGACCACCATTGGCAGGGAGGGAACTTTGACATCATGGAAATGTTCAGAAACTGCATAGTGGTGCTGGTGGAACAGCTGCATGTATTTACTGAAGCTCACGGCGCTGTATACTTAGGATGGGTACAATTTTTGGTAGGTAAATTATACCTCAATTAAGCTATTTAGAAAACCCTCAAAGAAGAAACATTTTCTGAGATTCAGTTTGGTACCCAGTGCCACTTGAATATAAATTCCCACCCTTGCTGAACCCCCAAGGTTGGTGTAAATACTGGATTTGGAGGAGATTGGATATGGTGTGAGCATCTGCGGAAAAAGCCAAATCCTGTATCTGTTGCAGATTGCTAGGATGCTGGAGGTAGTCCCTGTGTGCTGGGTTCTGATGCCCCCTAGAGACAGCCGGAAAGAGTCCATGCTTTCTCCTCTGAGAAGCAAAAGGGAATAATCAGTTGTATATTTGCAGATTTTTCCCCCCAATTTGTCAGTAAAGGCTGAAAGTGGGGGGGGGAGTATCCCTTCCTACCCCCGTTGTCTGGACTCCCAGGCCTCCACACCCTTTGCCCCCACCCTGGGAGAAGCCAAATAAGTACTTTGCCTAGCGTTGTTGCTCTAGTAAGTGGTGGAGATGTCGCTCAGACCCTGTTCTTTGGATTCTCAAATGCAATGCTCCAAACCCTAGCCCCGGGGTTGACTTCTGTGCACCGTGCAAATCCCCAGCACTTTCGCTTTCCTCTGCTTTCACATCCTTCCTGCCCTTCATCAGGGCAGGTGGGGAGGTGGGTGGTTGTTGATAATTCAGAGGTAAGATAGCCCCAAGCCTGGAGCCATCAGTTAAACACCTCTGTGTATAGTGTGTGCTCGGCATTCAGAATACCAATACAGATAATATACAGATATCCTCATGGACACGACCGACTGCTTCCAGCCCATCTCACTTGGTCTACATTTTGTCAGATGGGGCCCACCCAAGTACAGAAACAAACATATTTTGCCACACTAAGAAGGCTGGGAGTCAGGATACCGATATCTATAAAACCCAGGCATCTGTGTAAGCTACAGTAAAAATAAACAACTTAATTTTTTAAAATATTCTTTGAATGTAAAGGCAGTAAGTTTAGGAACAATTAGGAAATGACATTTACTGAGTAATTGACTTATATAGTCATTTCCTTTAGGAAACAATGAAAAGGGGTGTGTGTGTATGTGTAAAACATGCAGAGCGGTCTCTGCCTTTTACCATCTCTTAATTGTCACCTGATCATGGAAGGGGAATTTGGGGGGAGCCAGGCCCCAACCTGGGGTTGGAAAAGCGAGAGCAATATTGACAGGCAGCTCATGAATGGCTTGGTTATTATTCTGATGAGGGTTTTATTTCTATTTTTCTGTCGCTCACAGAGGCTCCGTGACGCCTGGGTTTTATTGATATTGGTATCCTGGCTCCAGGCCTTCTCAGTGTTGTAAAAAATGTTTGTGTTTACTGTAAAAAGATAATCTTCCTTTTCAAAGTGATTAATCACACACACAGAATTTCAGTGGGCCTGCCATTCATTTGTCAAATTCCTGATTTATAATTCATGCTTCCTCCCATGGGGAGAAGCATGTTTTGTTCAGAAGGTATTTTCAGTGTGGTTTCTGTTCCCTGCCAGCAAAATTAGTTTACTAAAAAGAAGCCTCATCCTGCGTTGAGACAGAGGTTTGACCGGGTTAATGGGCCTTTACTTCCAGCCTAGAGGTTTCTGCACCAACAAGGAGGTTCTGTCCCTTGGGGGCCAGCTGAGGAACCTGGGAGCAGCCAGACCCATTGGGCTTGGTACGGGCACTACAGAGTCCTTCAGAACTGAAAGTATTCGTGGATGAGAATGGGCCTACATAGGAGGCATCTGTTTCTACCTGCAAACCCCACCTTCAGTGGTCTGAAGACCCAGGTCACCCAGCATCAGCTGCAGCCTGGCACTGGGGGAAAGAGGAGATGTGGGTGGTGACTGTCCCCAAGGTACGGCAGGTCTCACCTTGCCAGATCCCAGTGCTTCCCACTTGTATACATGGCCTTGCGTTGCATATCCCGAGTCTAGATTCATGTGGACAATGTCTTAAGTTCCTTTTCCAGTAGATATATGTGTCAGGGAGTGAGCTCTTCCTGAGAGGAAAATATTATCGACTCGCAGGTTTTTGCAAACCTGCTTCGGTGGCCTTGAATATGTCACGGGATCTCAAGGTGGGTCAGTGAGGAGGCTAGCTTGGTTTCAGAGGTCTGCCTTTGGACTCACTTGGCTCACTGAACCGTGTGCAGGCAGGGTTCCCACATCCACCCCCTGCACGTCTGTGGACGGGGCCCAGGGCTTGTGGAGGGCTTGGGCTCAGGCTGATGGGGCAAATTCCATCTCAGCTCTGTGACTCCTCCCGGGCATTAGAGTCTTAGACTCATAAAACAAGCTCAGATGTTCATACCCCTTGTTGTCCTCTGAGTGTGTGTTCATGCCCCCACCCCCAGTGCTACAAGTAAACTAGACGCATGGCTACAGAAAGTACTGAGGGAACTGCCTATGGCTACGTGGCTCATTAATGACATTTGTACTCCTGGATCCTCGTCTCTGAACTCCCCTGTGAATTCCCAGGCATGTGTCACAAGTCTGCTTGGCAGCATTATAACCATAACTTTAGCTTTCTTCTTAATGAGACTCAGGCTGAGGATCGACCAGACGGGTAGAGGTGCTGGTATGATATATGTGAGGAACCCCATCAGGTGCAGAGAGGTGCCCCATGGACACAGCCTCCAGGGCAGAGGAGGGCTCTGGACTTCTGTCCAGGCTATCCTGGCTTTGGAAAGAGGGCTGGATCCTTTCCTCTCTGCAGTTCGTGTGTTGGATCGTTCAGTGGGTATTAGCAATAGCTCAGAGGGCTGCACCAGTTCCCAGACTCTGTTCTGTATAAAGTGCTTGAGTGAGCTCCAGAAAGAGCCTGAGGCTGGGGACCAGGAAGGCGTGAGGAAGGATTCAAGGTCCATGGGGAGCAGACCTTTGATCACGGAGGACTTGGATGGGCAGCATGGCCCTGCCTACCTGGTTTCCCCAGGGCCCTAGAAAAAGAGGTATACGGCCTGGATTTTTCTCCAGACCCCTCAGCTGTAGCTGTCTACACTGCCATCTCCCGGGGCATGGATTTCCCTCTGGGGAGCCAGAGATAGCTGTTGCTGATTCTGGCCGTCCTTCCGTCTTTCCTTCAGTTGGCAGGGGTAGCTGCTTCTGTGTGCATACCCCTAGGGGCAGGGCCCATATCGCACTTGGTCAGCTTTGGGCCTCCAGCTCCTTGTTGGTGCCCAGCACCTGTTAGACCAGTTCTCCTCCAAGGGTGCTCCCAATACCAGCAGTGCCCGCATCCCCTGTGTGCAGGTCAGCAATGCAGATTCTTGGCCCACCCAGTCCTACTAACGAGAAACTCTGGGAGTGGGGCCCAGCGCTCCGAAAACAAGCCTTGCGCACACTAACCTAGTGTGAGTCACTGTGGCCTGGATGGGTGGCCCACTTTCTCTAGAGGCTCTGGTTGAGGCTTTTTAGGATGGGGTGAATCTGGAGGAGGGAGCGGGCCCAGGGCTGGTCCACCACCGAGTCTGTCTCCCTGTCCCATTGTCTCCCTAACCCATCATACACCGCTGATGGCACGGATGGGATTTACCCCTAAGGATAATGGCAGACTCTCTACAGCAAATATGTAAGCCGTTCCGGTTGAGTAGCCGAGCATATCTGTTCTCCCATGGACTGATTTTGAGTGCATTATACATACTCTGCTCTGAGAGAAATACCCAAAGGCATTTCTACAGAATGATTCCAGTAATATCCTCTGGTGTGAGAAGCGTTATTGTTGGTAATGGAGGTCCTAAAATTAATTAGTGTCTTATCGATTTCAATATGTTGTCCTTGAATCATGTTGTTGCTATTGTTAACAGTAACTGTCCACTCTTACACACTGTTAATAACTAAATCTCTCATTGGCAAAGGCAGCGTGTTCCGGAGCCACATGCAGAAGAGGACTGGTGTGGGGTGGCCAGCAGGTGGGAGGGGACACTGGGAAAGGGCAAGAGCACTCACGGTGATTTCTGTGCTTCTAGGAACTACTCCTTCTATGTCCTGGACAACCAGAACTTGCAGCAGCTGTGGGACTGGGACCACCGCAACCTGACCATCAAAGCTGGGAAAATGTACTTTGCTTTCAATCCCAAATTGTGCGTCTCTGAGATTTACCGCATGGAGGAAGTGACAGGGACTAAGGGGCGCCAGAGCAAAGGGGACATAAACACCAGGAACAACGGAGAGCGAGCTTCCTGTGAGTGGACCCAACAGCCTGTGGCCCCTCCTCCAATCTAGAATGATGGCTCCATGGGTGGCCCCCTCCTCATCTCACTGGGGTGGGGTGGGGGGACGGACACGGGGCCTCCTGAACCAGCACTTTGCCCATACGTGTGTGTATCTTCAGAGTCAGTAGTGGGGCCGATTCATGACAGATTCGTATTTGTCAATGTTCCTTAGCATCCCTAGGAGTGTGCTAAGCATTTGTAAATAGGCTTCTGCTCAAAGGGAGTATTTTATGGAAGTGCTTACAGAATGCAGGGCTCAATGTCTTTTAAGGCACAGGCAGACAGATGATTTTTCAAGGAAGAGCCGGTCCTCTCCACTGCCGGGGAGCATGCTCAGCTCAGTCTCCCACAGTGTAGGGGAAGCCTCAGGGCAGAGGGGCCTGAGCTCCAAGCCCAGCGCGGTGGCCATGGGTTCCCTGTCTCTCCCTCGGCCTTCTCCTTGCTCCCACCCCAACACGAAAAAGATAGAACCTACCTCCCTGAACGGATACTGCTTTTTAAATTGAGAACCACATAATTATAACCTTGCCGTGGTTATATACTTTCAGGTCTTGTATCTGAGATCTAACAGCACGTCTCTCATCTAATCCTGCTTATCAAGCCGCTTTTGAAAATGTTGTGGTTCTGTTTGGCTGGATAGGGTTATAAAAGTAAATTGTTTCTCCGCCATCGGCTTTTAATAAGGGAAGGGTCCTAGGGAAAAAAAAAATAGAGTAATTTACATGATCAGAGGTGATTTGCACACATGCATACACACACACACACGCACACACGGGAGGGGAGGACTTGTGAAACCATTAGCATTTGACTGATTAGTTTTGCTGGTGTATGGATTTACCTGGTAGACACTCAGACTGCTCTGGAAGAGCTTTTAGAGGGAAGAGGCCTGACACGGAGCGGCATGGTGTGCTGGCAACCGGCCCCTTCTCCCTCACCCGCCCACTGCAGCCCTGTACCGTTCCCCCTGTTCGAATCATAGCAGAGCAGATGTGGCTGAGCATTTTCCAGGTGTTTTCTCCTCCAAGTCAGCCAGTCTGAGCAATCACATTGTGAATACAGAAGCCATTCATTTTCCTTTGAAAACAAAATCATGGTTTCTCCTTAAATAACACATTAGCAGGAAATGCAACTTTGTTCTAACCTCCGATCTGGCACATTTTGCCCCACTGACTTCTTACTTTTAACTGCCTTTAGCCAGTTAAAGTAAACTTTAAGCAGTAAACTTTGAATCAGCCACTGCTTCACCTGCTGTGTATGTGTTGGGGTTCAGGCAAATAGAGGCAGGCAAGACAGTCCGTCGGGGAGCTTTGGGTCTCCGTGGGAGAAGCAGTCAGCAACTCCACCCTAGTTCTCAGGGTCGTTTGAATCTGGCCGGAGGAATAAGTCGGGGCTCAGGGCAGGGTCCCTGCTGTAGCTCCCCAGCGACTTCCCATAGTGCACAGGAGGCTTGGCCAATGACACTGTTCTTGTCAGTGTGTCAGCCCCAGCCAGAGGCCTTCCAGGACTGCCCGTGCCCTTCCAGGTCGATGCCAAGTTTAGAGGCAGAAACGTGCCCCCCTGTGGCAACCTGGGCCATTCGCCTGTCTTTGCTGGTTGCACAGAAGCAGGTAGAGATCCGCAACTGCAGGACAGGTGCCAACCTATTGCAGAAGATTCAGCCCAGCTTAGGGGTTTATCCTCACCTTCCCTGGTCCCCTCGGGAGCCCAGGTCTTAGGGATCAGCAGAAAGACCAGGTGCCTTGCTCAATCAAGCAGTTCTTCCCTGTCAGGTTAGGAATCACAGATTCGGGTCCAAGTGCAACCAAGTGTGCTAAAACAAAGGAACGAGCTTCGTTGCAGCTCCGTGTGGTAAAATGTCTGGGCTCTTAGCAGAAATAAGAGAGCCACGGAGAAGTCCAGGAAGGGACTTGGCGTGTACAGCCATCTTTGGAGAAGAGGGAAATAGGGCAGGGCAGGTGACTTGTCAGACATTTGGAGGAAACGGACGTTGATCTCTGTCACTCACAGATATACCTTTGTGCCCCAGGTGAAAGTGATGTCCTGCATTTCACCTCTACGACCACGTGGAAGAATCGCATCATCATAACATGGCACCGTTACCGGCCCCCCGACTACAGGGACCTCATCAGCTTCACTGTCTACTACAAGGAAGCGTGAGTTTCTGTGGTGTCCTGTGGGCGGGGCTGTGGGTAAAGTCCCAACATTCATGAAGTGGGATAGAGGATGTGCCCTGTAACCCATACTCCAGGAACACCCCGCAGGATGCTCAGCTCCCCTGGAGGTGACCCCCAGACAGATCTATCATCTTATTCCATGAGCCCTTCCCAAGACCTGGTCCTCTGCTCTAGGTCACGAACTAGGGAAGGAAAATGGAGAGAGACTGACCTTCATGTTCTGAACCTTTCATGATTTCTCCCAAAATCTGCTGGGGGCTTTTCTTGTGCCTTCCGGTGATCTTCACCTGCCTCAGCAGCCATGACTTGTTCCTCCAAATGGTAGCTCTTTTGGTCCCCCTCTTCCTTTCTTTGTCTCCTTATCCAAGTGGTTCCACCAGCCTCCTTAGTTACCCTCCGTATCCAGCTCCCACTGTTGATGCTATAGGTCTCCTTCCCCGATGATTGGCTTCCTCAGAGCTGGAACAAGAGCCACCAATGACAGTATCTGGTCCCCTTTCTCCGGGGTTATAGCCATGAAAAAAAGCGAGTCTCGGGATCATTAGGCGTTCAGTGTATTTATGGATGGGAGTCATTCGTGGTCTTCCATCGTGAGGATAGGGTAGGTTAACATCTGTTTCAGAAGCCAGCGGCAGGGGCCGTCCAGCCCTTTCATCTGCTAGCTGGAGAATCCCTACCCACCCAAGCATGTGTGCAAAATACTTTCTTCTCTTTGATAGATCCCCAGTGCTTTGGCAATGTCAGCTGGTAATCTCACCAAGGAGTTGATGCTGGTATTGGAGACAATCTGGAAGCTAAATATTTGAGTATTATAAGATACTTAAGCAATCACGGTTGTTTGCCAGCAAATGAGATTTTGGAAACTCTATTGTAGAAGCTGTTTTTCTGTAGCAAAAGTCCTTTTCCCCCAAAAGTTTGTTTCTTCATCAGTAGCTGATGTTTGCATGAAATGATTATGCTTGTTTTTTTTTTCTTAATGGTGAAAAATGCCACAATTGGAAGAGAGAAAAATAGCCTTTGCCTGCATGCTTAAGGAGCAGTGTCTTCAGTCCCAGTAACAATTAGAATTTACTCTTCCTGAGGCAGAGTATGCAGTTTGTAAATATGGTAAAACCTGGGGTCCCGTTGCTTCATTTTATTCTTCTATACAAATCCAACGGACTATTTGTTTTATTTAGAATTCCCATTACAGAAAGTGTGACGTGCTAAGCCGCTAGGGAAGATTTCTGGGAGCTTTGATGTCAGAGACCTAAACCTTCCTCTGAGCTTCATCCGCTGTCTTTCTAGGCCTTTTAAAAACGTCACGGAGTATGATGGGCAGGATGCCTGTGGCTCTAACAGCTGGAACATGGTGGATGTGGACCTCCCTCCCAACAAGGACGTCGAGCCTGGCATTCTGCTGCATGGACTGAAGCCCTGGACGCAGTATGCTGTGTATGTCAAGGCGGTGACCCTCACCATGGTGGAGAACGACCACATCCGTGGGGCCAAAAGTGAAATCTTGTACATTCGCACCAATGCCTCAGGTATCCACACACTGCGCATCCCATATTTTTCGTGAGCTCACCGTGCTTATTACAAGATGTCTCGATCCCAGGGGCGCCTGGGTGGCTCAGATGGTTAAGCATCTGCCTTCGGCTCAGGTCACGATCCCGGAGTCCCGGGATCGAGTCCCGCATCGGGCTCCCTGCTCGGCGGGGAGTCTGCTTCTCCCTCTGACCCTCCTCCCTCTCATGCTCTCTGTCTCAAATAAATAAATAAAAAAAATCTAAAAAAAAAAAAAAAAAAAAAAAGATGTCTCGATCCTGGACCAGTCTGTGTTTTATATGTCTTTCTTATCAATATATAATGCTATATCATGTCATTTTTTTCCCAGTCCCAATAACCTAGGCTTTTCTGGGCCATTTTCCTGGTCCATCTTCCATCATCTGTCTGCTCTGTGCCAGTAAGCCCAGGTCCTCCAAGGGGGCTGGGGTGGTTTGTTTGGAGGACCCAGCCGGGATCCAGCCCCCTATTTTATTTTCATAGTTGAACCTCCAGGAATTGAACACATGCTGATTTGGTCTTTCAGTTACCTCATGTGGCTCATGGGTTTTCCATCTTCATTCTGTAGAGGCAAGGGTTCCAAGGAGGTAGACAGAATTTGGAAAGCGTCAGACAGAGTATACTGTGGACATTCCAGATATTTGCTGGTGAAAATGTTCCTCCTTCTGTCTCTGTCTTCATTTCCTAAACCACCTCATTTTTCTCAACTCCAGAATCTGGAACTGATGAAAGCAAACGTTTGTGTATATTAGCCAAGTATATGAAAACCAGCTTAGAGGCAGGAAAACGCACATCATTTCTAAAGACGATGATAAATACCCTTGGATGGTTGCTGTTTTATAAAACACCCATAAGGTAGCACAAAATAAATTTAAATGGCAGAAATGGTGAGGAAAAAGTGTTGATGGGGAAAACCTTCAGCTCACGCAATGCCTGCTTCCCCCTCCCCTCCCCTGCCCCATCTCAAGGATCCCATAAGTGGTCACAGTCATGCCACGGACCCTGAAGTGTTTATAGAAATAAATCTGGCGCTGGCTTCTGATCCTGGGTGTGGGGTGGTGTAGCAGAGGCTGAAAGGCAACAAAACAAGTTATTCTTCTTCTAGGTTTGGAAGTAATTTATTGCAGCCAGCTCAGGAAGAATAAGAATCTTTCCTTATTATGACAAGTTCTTTTTTTTTTTTTAATCCATTCACTTTCTTTAGAGAGAGCGGGGGCGGGGGCGGACAGAGAGAGAGGGAGAGGGAAGATCCTCAAGCAGATTCCCCACTGAACACGGAACCCGATGTGGGGCTCAATCCTCAGGACCCCAAGACCATGACCTGAACTGAAATCAAGAGTTGGCCACCCAACTGACTAAGCCACCCAGGTGCCCCTAATTAATTATATGACAAATTCTTTTTTTTTTTTTAAGATTTTATTTATTTATTTGAGAGAGAGAGAATGAGAGACAGCATGAGAGGGAGGAGGGTCAGAGGGAGAAGCAGACTCCCCGCTGAGCAGGGAGCCTGATGTGGGACTCGATCCTGGGACTCCAGGATCATGACCTGAGCCGAAGGCAGTCGCTTAACCAACTGAGCCACCCAGGCGCCCCTATATGACAAATTCTTAAGAAACGTATTTCCTTTCCCCAAAGATGGAAAACTAAGCACGATACAAATTGGGCCAGTTCCCTACATCTTGGCCCCTGTCCTTATAAGTGGTGGGGACAGAGGAAGACTCGGTCCTCTGCCTCTGCTTTTTTAGATTTGAAACTCTTAGGGGTGAGCTGTTTATTGTTGAAATACTTGACTTTGGTAACTGAAAGTGGTCGAGCATCCAGTGGTTATGTTTTTCCTGAAAGCTGGCATAAGTCACAGCCTTTCCCTAAAGCATCACTCCGTACAGGTGTTCAGAACCTTGTCTGTGATATTAGGGGCCTTAAAGTACCCTTAAACTCTTCGCCCCTTTGAAATTTTAAAAAAGTGGCTTGGATGACTGTGTTGTTTAAGTGATAGACAGTAAAGAGGTCTCTTGCACTTTGGAAAACCCCCAAAAATCATTGTTTTCTTGTGAACCCAAGGGAAATAAGATTTCAGTGGTCCTGGGATGCGTTTGCCCTTTATACATAAGGTAGCTCTGGGTTTCGGTTTGGGAGGCAGTAGTAAAATAAAGCTTGGCCAGATTATTATGCTGTGCCTGTAAATGAATATTCTTTGGCTGGTAACAGAGTCCATTGCTTGCAGTTGGGGCTCTGTGTGTGTTTGGGTTTGTGGACTGCTTTTCCTAGTCCTATCTCATTCATCCCGTGGAAGTGTGGTTATAGAACTGAGAGACTTGCAGGCCCTCTTCCTCCACGCCTCTTACACACCCCATGCACACACTCACGTGCACACACAATCCAGCCCTCTCTCACTTCCCCTTTCATTTTGGCATCTTGCCATTTTTATCAGAGCTCCAGAATCTCAGGTGAAACCCAAGTCCGTCCGTTTCCCCACTTGGTAGAACTGCTGGAGTCAGGCGATTTGGAGAACGGTGGATGTAATAAACGAGAGCAATCCGATGTTTGAATTAGCTGTAGGTTTTTAAGCCACCCACTTGTAATCCTGGCGTGCCCCCGCCCCGACCTTTCTCCATGTGCCGCTCAGTCATGTTTGTTTTCACAGAGCTGACCTGAGAGTAGATACCACGCACGGAGAGAAATGCGGGCATTTAAATTGATACGATTTCAAAACACGGTTCACTTCTTGTTTCACGTGTCCGCGTTCACCGCCGTCTCCCTATCCGGGTCCAACCTGCGGCTTCTTGTGGGCTTGCAGCGAGTGCCTGGGCGCCTGGATTCGGGGTTCATTCCATTGTCTGAAGCGTCCTTTGTTCGCCTTTCCAGTTCCTTCCATTCCCCTGGACGTTCTGTCCGCGTCCAACTCCTCCTCCCAGCTCATCGTGAAGTGGAACCCGCCCTCCCTGCCCAACGGCAACCTCAGTTACTACATCGTGAGATGGCAGCGGCAGCCTCAGGACAGCTACCTTTACCGGCATAACTACTGTTCCAAAGGTAAGGGGGGCGCGGGGGGGGGCGGAACCCCACTCCCGCCGCCCGGACGTATCCACGCCCCGATGTGACACACAGCCCCCCGACAGTTGGAGCCCTTCGGTGGAAACCAGCCACCTTCTCGATCAAACGCGCTGACGGCTCCCCCGCCCGTCTGACCTGGCTTTCATGTCTGCGCTTGTCGGGCTTCTCTTCCCCGAGCAGACAAAATCCCCATCAGGAAGTACGCCGACGGCACCATCGACGTGGAAGAGGTGACGGAGAATCCCAAGACCGAGGTGTGCGGCGGAGAGAAGGGGCCTTGCTGCGCCTGCCCCAAAACCGAGGCCGAGAAGCAGGCCGAGAAGGAGGAGGCCGAGTACCGCAAAGTCTTCGAGAACTTTCTGCACAACTCCATCTTTGTGCCCAGGTACCAAGTGTCGTTGGAAAACGTCTCCAGGCTGGTGCTCCTCGGGCGGGTTCTGTGGTGCGCTCTCCCCGCGGGTGGTTTGTAGGGCAGCAGCCTCAGGGCAGAACCCCGTAGCCGTCAAGGGTGGGGGGAGAACAGAACACGTTGCCAGCTTGCGTGAGTGGGGTGCCTGTGGGAGGCAGGTAGCCGCGAAGGAAAGGGGGGGCCGCGGGCACGTCCGTGCCACTGCCTCGGCCACAGGGCCTCCCACCGAGGGCAGGTGGGCTCTCAGCTGGGGGTGGGCGGGAAGTGAAGCTCAGAGAGGCCCCCACCCATGGAGACCAGCGAATGGAAGAGCTGGTGTGCGGGCCCTTCCTGCGCATCCCACTTCTCCCTACGGCCTCTTGAAGCCTGGCTGAGGAGAAGTGAAGCAAGAGGGAGAAGACCAGAGTGAGGTTTGAAAGCGGCCCAACTTGCAAGCACAGCCCAGTGCCCCGGGCACCCTTGACAAGCAGGTTTGAGAAGCAGCGGACAAAGAGCGGAGGGAGGTGGAGGTGTGCAAAGCCACGCTACTCACAGTAGCTAAAGCTGGGAATGAGCCGCGTGTCCGTGAGGGGATGAATGGATAAGCAAAATATGGCCTAGCCACGCAATGGCATATTATTCAGCCATAAAAAGGAAGGAGATTCTGACGAAAGGCACCACTCTGGTGGACCTTGAAAACATCATGCTAAGTGAAAGAAGCCAGATGCGAAAGGAACAGCTATTGTAGAATTCCACCCATAGGAAGCATCTACCGGAGGCAAATTCATGGTTTTGGGAAGTGCATGCCAGGTTTCCAGGGGCTGGTGGCAGGGGGAAATGGGGAGTTGGGCCTTAGTGGGTCTAAGAGCTTCTGTTTGAGGTGATGAAAAATGTTGGAAACGGTGATGGTTGCACAACATCATGAATGCAATCAGTGTCTGAATCGTACACTTAAAAATGGCTAAAATGGCAAGATTTGGGTATTTTTTTAATCAAAAATTTTATTTTACCACAATAAGAAATGGTTTAAAAAACAAAACAAAACACGGAGGGGGAGTCCATCAGGGTAGCCCTGCAATGTCTGGGGAAGGAGATGGAAACAGAGTGGTGGTCCCTGTCTCCCTTTTCCTCCTGGAAGATTATAGTGTGGCGTTTACAAACAGCCTCTTGGCTGAAATGTGAGTGGAGGAGCTGGATTTGGTTGCACCTACGCTCTCCTGGTCCCCATGGTGCCGCAGCCACCAGCCCACTGCCCGGCGTGTTCTGTGATTGCTGGTCTTCCTGCCCCCGACCTCGAGAGGCACCAGAAGCCCGTAGCTTCTGTTTATTCTGTAATGACTTTGCCTTTAAAGGCTTACTTAGGTTGTAACAACAAATGGCTTTTAAAGTGGTTTTTTTTCCCTGTCAAGTGACCTTCCTGATATTTGTGTAATAGTCCAAGATAGCCATCTTACTTCGAAAAATCATTAAGAAAGAAAGACCTCTTAGAGTGGCAGGCATTCTTTTCAGGACAAAGCTCTTCATTGCCCATCATCTCCTCTCTAGGAGTGGAAACCACTGGAGTGTGAGGGTAGGAGAGCCTTCTGTGGGTCCCCCTGACCTGCTCCACTGGAGACCTCTCCTCCTAGGGCTGTGGTTCAAGTGTTAGTCCCGACTGTCTGTAGGTCATGTGTACTTCCAAGAATAAGAGCTTTTGACGAGCTCAGAGATGTTTAAAAACTAGAATTCAGGCATAGTGACTTCTCCAACAGCCTAACTCATGAACGATCCACTCGGGCCTTGACCCTACATTTTGACACATTAGGGCTCTTGCCTTTTTGGTAGCACTGCTTCTCAACGTGGGCCATTTCCCCCCATGCCCGCAGAGAGGCTCAGCTAGTGGCACTTCCCGTGGCCACAGAAGCAGATGGATTGAGAGTGTCCCAAACACGCTGGGCAGGAGTTATCTGTTTATTCTCCAGCGAAAGCTGTCGGCTCCGTTGCTGTCTCATCCCACCGGCCCGCCAGAAGTTCAGATTGTGAGTCCAGGCATTGGAGAAGCTTTGCTAAAGGGCTCCGAGCTTTCAATTTGTAGTTACAAAGCAGTACCTTTCTCTCTCATCACATGGGGAACACAAGATCAGGCAATGTGAAGGCTGAGCCGTGGGTGACACGGATATTAGCAATGCATTGTGTTCATGTTATTGAATTCAAAATAAGTTTCCTGTCTGCCAAATCCCCCCTGACGAGTGCGTGCGTCCACCTCTTTGGCCCCGACATTCTCTCTCCTAAGACAAGTCTGACCTGCTATTCTGGCTTTCCTTAGGATGAATATAAATACTGTATTTGCCCACGGTGAACGGCCACAATTTATACGAACTTCATATTGTTTTGTTTTGTTTTTTTTTAATGCCTCCTACCAAGGGTATAATTCTCATGTCCACTCAATTTGCAACACAATTTTGATAGAAGGAGTGTCTGGCTGGCAGAATGATTGAATCATAAAGGAAGGTTTTTTTGTTTTTCAGCTAAGCTATCCAAAGACAATTTTTATTTCTTTCAATGCATTCTTTTTTTAAAAGATTGTATTTGTTTATTTGAGAAAGAGACAGAGATAGTGACAGAGATAGCAAGAGCGAGAGCACAAGCAGGCAGGAGAGGGAGAAGCAGGCTCCCCGCTGAACAGGGAGCCTGACGTGGGGCTCGATCCCAGGACCCTGAGATCAGACCTGAGCCGAAGGCAGACGCTTAACTGACTGAGCCACCCAGGCGCCCCTCTTCCAATTCATTCTAAGAATAAGCCAGTCAAGTCAGGTTTGGGCAGAGCATTATATTTTTTGCAGTGGATTAAACCCAAGCAACTTCTCTCTTATAGACGTAAGGGTGTGTTGTATTGGTTTTATGTGTTGCATTGGTTTTGAAGAGAAGGCAGGACATTCGTTCTGGTAGGTGTCAAAAGAGATCTCCCCAGCAATAAGTGTAGTTCCTTGTGTCCTTCCCTTCCAGGAAGGTTGGTTGGTGTGCGGGGTGTGAGGATGGGAAATGGTCAGCCTCATCTCCTAATCTTTCCTCCCCCAATATTATGAAAGTGAATGCATTGGGGCCATTCACACACGGCCTGCCTCTGTGGTTCTCTACCTGGTGGAATGAGCATATCTGGGTTGAATGGTTCGTGTTTTAGGTTAGGACCCACTGGGCCGTTGCACAAAAGTGGTGATGGCATTTTGTGTGGGGGAATCCATGGGCCAGGCAGACTGGGGAGCCAGAGGCCCTTCCCCCAAGTCCCCTGCTTTTCCCTTCCAAGTTTTTCACTTCAAGGCAAGTAAGGACCCGCGGGAAGCCTGCTGAGAGTCAGCTGAGCCACAAACGGCTTCCCAGGTGCCCTGATTCCCTGTGGGACTTCTCTTTCTCCCCTACATGAGAACTGATGAGCATTCCCACTTTGTGGTCTTTCTCCTTGCCTTGGGCTCTTAGTTTTCTTTCCCGGATGAGCTTGGTTCTGTTTCCTCCCCACCCTTTGCCTGCGCACAGGATGCATGACGCCCGCGGACAGCCTCAGTGCGGAACGGACGGCAGCTTGCTTCCCCCTGTTTCTGGTGGTTGGCCTGAGGGTGGCTGTTTCTCACCTGGGTGCTTACTCTCACATGCTGTTGCCTCCAGTAAACACGAGGGGCTTGTGTTTGAGGTTTCTGAGGGGAGCCCAAAGCCCACAACAGTAGCCATTGGAACAGTCCCCCTGTCCAGCTGCGCGGACTGCCTCATCTGCCCTTTGGGTGTGAACATTCTCTTTTGATTTCTCTTTTGCTGTCCTATTGCTTTTGTAGCTGTTGTTCGAAGCCCTAGTCCAGGGCCATGACAGTGATCCTACCATTGGCAGCAGTGGGGCCTTGGAGAGGCCACAGGAGGTCACTGCTGAGTGTGAGGCGGAGCCAGACTGGAAGGACCTCCAGGAGTGTGAAAAATACAGACACTAGGGTCTCAGAGGAAGAGAGAGTCAGTGGGAGCCCCAGAGGGAAGGGTCTGAGGGTCCAAGCAAGTGCTCGCTGCTTGATATCTTTCTTTCTACAGAGGGGGTCAGAGAAGCCATCCCGCTGGGGCCTACACCACACAGCTCACCTCTCACCTCACCCCCTAATAAATCTTAGTGTGGCCAGCAGGGTGGTCACGTTTAATGCTTAACCATGAGGTCAGTGGACCAGGTGGCACGGACATTCTGACCAAAGGGCCAGTATGCTGCAGGGCCAGGAGTGACTGAGGCATTTGTTTGCCTCTAGATACAATCGAGTAACCACTCTGGGAGCCAGGGGGCAGTTTGTGTGCCGATTCGGAGGTTTGCAGAGTAGAGAAAGCAAAATAAATAACGGAGAAGGAAATCCCCGTATTATTTGTTGGTCCTTATCCAAAGGGGCTGAATAGCTCCTTTCATCCAAAGTTAAGATTTTTCTTTTCTTTCCGTTACTCTAACCCAAGTCATAGAAGGGACAAAAGAGGTGGAGGCGCTTACAGGCCAAGTTTCTCTCTTCCTTGCAGACCTGAAAGGAAGCGGAGAGACGTCACACAAGTCACCAACACCACCATGTCCAGCCGAAGCAGGAACACCACGGTGGCAGACACCTATAATATCACAGACCCAGAAGAACTCGAGACAGAATACCCTTTCTTTGAGAGCAGAGTGGATAACAAGGAGAGAACTGTAATCTCTAACCTCCGGCCTTTTACTTTGTACCGCATTGACATCCACAGCTGTAACCACGAGGCTGAGAAGCTGGGCTGCAGCGCCTCCAACTTTGTTTTTGCAAGAACCATGCCTGCAGGTAGGGTGTGATCCAGCGAACCCCACTCCTGACTCACTCACAGCCCAGTGGAGAAGCTTGTGTTCTATGGACACAGAATCTGTCATCCAGGGCAATGACCCTTAGTCTCCATCCTGCTTATTAAAGAACGGGTGGTCATTTGTAGGCAGGATGGTAGACCAGCAGCCCAGGGAATGGAGTCCATTCATAATGACATCATTCCCAACCCAGTCTTCGCACAAAGTCCTACAAGAGCAGGGAGCACCCTTCGGGGTCAACTCCCCTCCTCCCACTTGGTTCACATTGTACATTTCCATGGCCCTATTCCCCATTTGTACACACGTAAATTTGCCCCGTCCCTCCTGAGTCGTCAGGTTCAGTGGAATCCGTTAGCTGCCTTGACTCAGAGTGACTTTCACTCCTCAAGGTCAACTGCTAGAGTAGCCTTTGGTCCTGCCTCTTGGGTCTTCACCTTCCCCTTTGGAAGTTGGAAGCTGCCTGTTACTCACACTGCCATCCATCCATCTTTAAGGATAGGTGAACTGCCCATCCTCTTTCCTGCCCGGGGTTAGCAGGTAGTAGGGAAGGAGCCCAGAAGAAGTGGAGTCTAGGAGGGGACGCACAGCATATCTCAAGGCCGCTGTCAGCTTCCCTGGCCTCAGTTTCCCCACCCTTCTGGGAGAGACAGAAGCCAGCTCATTTCTCAGAGCCTTCCCCGGCTGTAACTTGCAGGGACTCTTGCTCACCACTTGGCTTGCTGCTTTAAGCAGAAGCAAGAGTGCAAGCACCCAGCCTCAGCTAGCAGCAGCTGGAGGAAGGGTGGACGCAGGCCCAGCTCGTGGGCCGTCCTTCATGCCTGCATCAGAGTTGCGTTTGCCGTGTGCAGATGCAGGCCTGGAGGGCTCCGTGTCGCCGCCTGGAGGCTTGCTGCCAGCCACCCCTGCTCTCGAGGCGCCTTTTCAATGCTGCTTGTGTTTGACGGCATCACATAGTTTCCTTTCTCGAGTGGGAGAAGCCAAATACCAGAAATAAGTTACTCAAGCTGCCGGGATTTTCTGACTATACTTGATATAGCGGGCTTTTTCTGGGGTGGGGTGAGGGGGCGCGGTCACTGAGGGGAGGGAAGGTATCGTGGCATCTTGAGACTCACAGGTCATTACATTGCTTGGATTCCAAACCCTGTGCTATGTGTGAGCAGCCGGCTTTGGGGGAGTATATGTGGTCCCCGCCCTCAGCCCTGCACATACAGACTGGGGGAGGGCATGCTCAGAGTAGCCCACTCGGGGTGTTGGGGGGGCGGACCCGAATCCGACTTTATCGCTTGTTTAAATTGTTGCACAGAAGGAGCAGATGACATTCCTGGGCCGGTGACCTGGGAGTCGAGGCCTGAAAACTCCATCTTTCTAAAGTGGCCGGAACCTGAGAATCCCAATGGATTGATTCTAATGTATGAAATAAAATATGGATCACAGATCGAGGTAAGGCTGGCGCAGTGGTCTGCATCTGGGTGTGTCCCCATTCCAATTGATGACATGTGCCCCAACATGTCACCTCCCAGTTAGCTGAGGACTTAACCCCATAAAATGAGGAGCTAAGTCAGTGAGGACTTAAGTCCTTCTACTAGCTCCACACGTCTTTGAGGAGAGTACTCAGAGTATATGAGGAGGGGGGCTTGTTCTCCCCCTTAAGAAACTACTTTGTTACAGAAAATGATCGTTCAGCATACGCCAGAAAGAAATTTTTATTTTTCTGGAGTTCTTTTTGATTACCAAAAAAATAGATATATATTTGGTTAGAACTTGGGAGTGTTTACAGTTACTGGAAGACTGCCATTCAACACTTGGTTTCTTCCCTGTTACTGCAAATTGGGATCACTGTCAGGTGGGACGCGAGAGATGGGACAGCAAGAGGCACCCATTTCTCACATGCTTGTGGGGAATTGGCACTTGTGTTTTATTTCCCCCAGGATCAGCGGGAATGTGTATCGAGACAGGAGTACAGGAAGTATGGAGGTGCCAAGCTTAACCGGCTCAACCCCGGGAACTATACGGCCCGGATCCAGGCCACCTCTCTCTCTGGGAATGGGTCCTGGACGGATCCTGTGTTCTTCTACGTCCCAGCCAAAAGTAAGGCTTGGGGAAGGAGTAGCTGGAAGATGGAGAAGCGGGTTGGGCGGGGCTTGGGAAAGCCTGGGCTGTCGGAGCTCTAACTTTCTGATTTTCCGTTGGAACCGAGTTGGCCAGATTTCAGAAGGGTCACACTTGGGTCAGCACCTCATTTGGGAGCTCGAGCAGGGGGGAGCTGCTGCTTGGAGTTCCTACCTCATTTGATGGTCAGGGAGAGGGTCTGAGCCCCTTTTGAGGGTGGGGGGGGCGTCAGCAAGAGGCCTTTGCTCTCAACTTGTTTTATGTGTGAAGCATTTTACGAAGCGCGTAATTGACCATTCCGCCTCTTGTCCGGTTTGGGCTGCTGGTTAGGGCTCGGATTTAGGGCTTAGAATCCTAACGGTGACCAAAATCTGGGGGCCATCCGGTCCAGCCTGTTCCAAGGTAGGAGTCTTTGTAATGGCATCTCACACTGAGGCATTGTCCCCTTCACTGCCCTGTCGGTAAAAACACAGATGCACTTTTAAAGCACCAACACACATCAAATGCACACAGTGCTCGCTGTCTGGCACAGAGACTGGGCCATGTTGTGATTTTATACTCAAGCCGTTGACAAGACAGAATTCTTAGAAGACCGTACTAGGCTAGGATTTCAGATTTGAAAACTGGGTTTTGTAAAACGTGTAAGTGCACCATGGGCCCTATGCTTCCTGGGCTGAGAAAATGCAGTATTTTATTTGGTGACTTAAATATTCCTCATTATTTCCACATTGAGTTTCTGTTTCTTATTAGGAACCTAGTTTTTCAGATGATTTCATGTTCAGGTAATGGGATCTAATTTGGCATAACACTATTCCTCACTGCCCCACGTGAAAGAGCAGCCCACCGTGCTTACTGGTGCTACTTTGGGGTCCATTGGGTGGTCCCCACGTCCGTGGTCTCTCCTTGGGTCCCACATCTGTGCTGACCCGAGCTGGCTTCTGAGTTCTTAAATTCAGGATCCAACCAATCCAGCCATCCACCTGGTTAGCGCCTAAAAGTCAAAGACAGATATTTGAAAATCCTAATAGTACAGATATCAAAAGAAGGATGGCGTGCATAGAATTGCAGACCTTGAGGTAACATTTTATGAGCCTGGAACTGTGCCTGAGTTCAGGTTTTAGGGGTAAACAGATCGCTCAGGCAGAGAATTCCATCAGCTAAAAGAGTCTGAATTCTCCATGGGGCCTGCTAACCTGCTCTCCCCAGTGAGCCTCTGCCACCCAGTCCAGTGCTAGAACCTTCCCAGTAATGCCTAGAACCCTCTCCAGAGCTGTGGCTGGCTTTCTCTTCTCCCCTGTTCTCTCTTCTCTGCTTCCATCCCTTAGGAACAGAGCCTAGGTTTAGGAGTATTGCATCAGGCCGCAGTCTTTGAAATAGCAGCCTTGGCTTGTCTTCGGAGGGGACACACTCCCATTTGCCATTGCTACCCCGTCTTTAACCCTGGGAGTGCTGGGATGCCACTGGGAACCCCAAGAGCCCCTCTGATGGACTCTTTTCCAGCAGAAGTTGGCACATACTGCAGGAAAATGGAATCTGCATGCCTGCTTTGCTGTTTGTCCTTATGTCAGGCAAGACTCTCCTGCTACAGCATAGCCTCTTTTCCTCTTGTTTAATCCTCAGAGGAGACGGAAGCTTTGCGAGCTTTCTGGCAACCGCTGTCCTTCTAGGAACCCTTCATGTGCTTGAATGCTATTAAATGACTCTTCAGACTTTTCTTCTCCAGACTAAATAATCTCCAGTCTCTTGGCATTTTCTTGTTGCCCAGTCGCAGAGACCAATTTTCTAGCCATTTCATCATTTTGCTCCTCTCCGGCTGTGTTCCAGTTTCTCCGTGTCCCCACTGAATTGTGAAACTCAGAACATGGTACAACGTGACCAGTAGGCTAAGTGATATGAATGTAAGTAGTAGTCCTTGGGAAGAAAAACTAAAACTTGGCTGGCTTCCCAAAGGCAGTGATAGTTGAGAGTGTTTTCAAGAATTAAAAAATGCAGGAGATGCATCCATGTTGAGAGTGATCTGAGGAAAATGTCCTTAATGTTAAAAAATTAAAATAGCATTAATAATCCATAAAGAGTCATAGTGATGATGATGATGATTTTTAGGGGCAAAATAATCACTGATGCGTGACTTCTACCAGGTGTCACTGGGTCCCCAGTGAGTTCCATCATTGCCGCATAGACATCTCTACTTGGGTATCCCACAAGTGCCTCCCACTCCCATCAGTACCAGAACCGAAATCACAGTTGCTGCCCTCAGAGTATCTCTCTATCCTTTTGTTCCCAAGGTCAGTCAGTGGCGCCATGATCCACACCCCACGCAAGTCTGGAACCTTACATCCTCCTCTCTCTCTTTCTCTCTCTCTCTCTCTCTCTCTCTCTCTCTCTCTCTCTCTCCAGCCACCCATTTCCCATTCAACCCATTGGTTCTGCGTCTTCTGTGTCACTGAAGTCCTGCCCCTGCTGCCACCACCATTAGCTAACGGCCCCTAGGGTACTTGCCGTGGGGGGTAGGTCTGAGCTGTGGGAGCAGGAAAGGTCCCAGGACCATGGCTTCCCAGCTGTCTTTGTGACCCTGGGGAGGACAGTTCATCTCTGTGTCTTCTTCATTCGTAGCAAAAGGCAGTGGTCTCTTCGTGAGGTCTGGGCTGGATAATGCAGAACACAGCCAGGTCCCCTCCCGCCCCCGGCACCCTCCGAGACGTGGCCGTGCCTGCCTCCTCCATTCAGGCTGACCTCAGGCACCGCCATCCCAACATACACAGATCTGCTCGGCTCACTGCGGGGCCCAGAGCTCACATTGGCTCGCTTTCATCTGCAGAATGAGGTTCAAACTGCTTGGCCAGCCCTGCTTTTTCCCAGTATCATCTCCAACATTTCCTCTGCACTTGCAAAGCTTCCCCGACTCAATTCTCTCCTCTCCCTTCCTCTCCACGTCCTTGCAGTGTGGGTGGTCCACCTTTTTGGTTGTTGTGCCACCTGGGAACACGCTGACTTCTGGCTTCCAGCAGAGTCTGCAGCGGCATCCCCAGTGTCCAGCCTGGCACCTGTCATCTAAGTGCTGGTGACGGTGATGAGCAGGTGTTGCAGTGAGGCTTGTAACTAGACCCTAATGTCTGGGGAGAAATCAGAGCAGCTTTGGCAAGGGGTGCCATCCAGTTAGGTGTTTTTAAATTGTCTGTGGAACCGTCTTAAGACAGATAAAGGTCAGTGTGGTGTACTAGGATACCAGTTTCATACCAAACAGGTTAAGTAATACATTTATGATCTAAACACCAAGGGTCAGTACAGCTTGAGCTCTATATATGTGAGAATCCATTCATTTTATTTTTGCAAATATATATATACACACACACATGCATGCACTAGTAGTCATTAAATTGCATACAAAGATTATTTTACTCGAGCCCACCATTTGAACTATTATTTCAGGGTACACTGTACTTTAAAAATGAGTTTACTCCTCTGTGTGCACTTCTCTCTCTCTCTTTTTTTTTTTCCCCAAATAATTCAGAGTTTTTTTACTGTTCTATCTGATACTGTTTACCTTCAGAATTCCTAGTTTGCAATAGGGCAGTAAAGGAATTTTCGGGGATTTTTTTTTTTCATACTTGCAGCTAAAACAAAACAAAGCAAACAAAAAACGACCAGCTTGCGCACCTAGCAATATTTTATCATTTCCCTTGTCTCTGCAGTAACGTATGAAAACTTCATCCATCTGATCATCGCTCTGCCCGTTGCTGTCCTGTTGATAGTGGGAGGGCTGGTTATAATGCTGTATGTCTTCCACAGGAAAAGGTGAGTGACTCTGTGAAAAGTTCAGATACCTTGTGTGACCGTGCTGTATGGTGGTTTGAACCTGAGCGCAGGGAAACGTCGTGAGGATTTTGAGGAAGTGTTTTATGGATTGGGAAACCTGATTTTCCCATCAAATGTTCCTCTCAGGAAAAAGAGAACATTTTCTAATGATTCAGCAGCAATAGAAAATGTATTTGGGGCCAGTACGGTTCATCCCCTCGCTCACAGATAACTGCTGCTCATGCAGAGATTTTTCCAAACACAGGGCCCAGCCTTTTCTGTCCAGTAGGCCTTTCAGTTTCTGATGAAGTAAAGAAACAAGTGTTTCATAAAAAGCTTTAATCCGAGGCCCCTGAAGAAGCCCAAGGACGTGTTAGCAAGATGGCTTTGGGGCCCGATGAGAGCCGACAGGCAGGAACTGATATCCACTTAACGAAACAGGACAAATAAAACTGATAGCGCAAAGATGACATGTGCGGAGATGGGTTTGTTTTTTTTTAACCTGAATTTTACCCTTTTGACAGAAATAACAGCAGGCTGGGGAATGGAGTGCTGTACGCTTCCGTGAACCCAGAGTACTTCAGCGCCGCTGACGGTAAGCGGCTAAGCCAGGGTCGCTGCCTGGGGACATCCCAGATCGGGGAGCTTTCGGGAGTGTGGCTAATTTAGGGGGAAGAGGGTTGCAATATTTTGAGGTGACTTTGGCCTCAGAATACGTCTTGGTTAACACTTTTTTTTTGTTTTTGTTTTTTTGAATCAAAGTTTTCAGCAGTTCAAAGAGTATGTCAAAAATTCTGGGACTGTGCGGAATGCCCCAAAGAAAGACAGGCTTCAGAGATGACTGGTCAGCGCAGTAATCAATTTACTTAATCGCCTGAAATTTTATGCTAGAATGACAAAAGCTGTTTTAATTGTTGACGTCTAGTCAGAGGGGATGCCACAGCTGACCAAACCGTCCCCTTCAACTTGTTTCAGCTTGAGTTTCGTGTCGCTGTGACTGTCTTTGATCACTCACGGCTTCCCTGCATTTTTCTGTCTTGGAGTTTTTCTGTTCACCCCCTCCTGACTGGGATCACATGATTTATACCCTCACGGCCCATTCACATACCCTCGGATAGTAACTCATGAGGGCCATTTAGTTCAGTGACCGAGAAGGTCTGACTTGGAAGTTGGGTTGTACTCCATGGATCTCTCTTTTTTTTTTTTCCCCCTCGTTTGCTGTCTCTTCTCCCTCGTGGGCTTGAATCCAGACCTTTCAAAGTCAGTGTGGGGCATTGGTCCCAGCACCATTACCTGGCACTTTGCTGGGGGCTTTTATAAATGCCATCCCATAGGTCCCTATATCCCTGTAAGGTGGCTTTTCTCAGGCCCGCCTGTGTGTAGGTGAGGCCGGGAGGTGCAGAGGAGAAGCTTGCCCAGGTCACATAGTGAGGTAGTTGAGAAGTTGGGGTGACACAGTCTCTGGCATCTTGTGGACAGTGTGATGCCATCACCGTGAGGTGAGCTCCTTGGGGCGGGCGGGGAAGCTCACCCACAGGAGTATCTGGATCGGGTTCATCAAGTGAATGAGTAAGTGCGTGAAATCGGGTAGATGCATTTAGAAAAAGTGTTTGCCTCTTCTTGGCTTTCGGTGAAGTGAAAGTTGATATAAATGTATAGGAGATAGGAGATAGATTCATGATTATTCTGATTGATTATCCTGATCAAATGGAAAACATAAGAAAAACACTTTGACACTCAAAAGCACTATATAAATGTGTAAAGTTTCACTGTGATTTCTTTAATAGTTTCTAATTCAGTTCTGTTTACAGTAAAGCCAATCAAAAGCAGCCTCCCCTGAGTAGGAATCGAGTGCAGAATAATGACATTATTCCTGATTCTATAAAGATCTCACAAAGTTTTATTTTTAATAGGCACATATATATTTGTATGTGCATACACGCACACACACACACACACACATACACACCTCTGTACTCCTATAATTAATGTATGTATGTATATAAGGCATAGAGAACATTCTGGAAGGATACACAACCAAACTTAAAATAGTAGTTACTTGCGGAGAGGATCTTTTTCCTTATTAAAAAAAAATATTTTTATGCATTGTTTGTATAAATGATAGCTTTTTTAAAAAAAAATAAGGTAAGGCAAGTCATCACACACCCAATGGAATTTATGGGGGGAATGCAAAGCCACTTTCCCTCTCTGTAAAGATGGAATAAGACTATTCCAGAGACTTTGCTCTGCTTTGAAATAAAGCACAGGAGACGGGCATTTGTAGTTTTGACTACGAAGCATCCAGGAAGTTTGGAAAGAGCATTAATACGATAATATCAGACAGTACTGGTGAACTGAATTCAAATTGTGTATCTTTCCAGAACTACTTTCATAATATGCCTTGATTCTTCTTTAAAAATAAAATAAACAAAACCCAAACTCATTGTCACCTGGGCCAACAGGTAGGAACACCATCACCTCATTTGAACTTAATTTATTCGGCCTTTTGACAAGCACCTTATAGCTAGTTTCCTCAAGGGGCCACAAAATGACATTGCAGTTCGCAAATGCTTTAAAAACTCCTTTCTCCAAAAGCTAATCTGCATGTCACCATTCTCCAGAGTACGCTGAAAATTCCCTCTAGGGAAGTGCTGATAACATTGTGCCCATAACCTGAGGCTGGCTGGAGGGGCTTAGGACTACTGGTTCAAGTCAGAGCTGCTGGGTTGAATTTAGAGAAAAGGATTCCAAGTGTTGACTTCAGGGACCTCCCAAGGAAGGAATGTGATTGGTTTTAACTCTGTATTTTATGGTGTGCTACATAGTTAATTCTGACTAAAAGCAAGCCTGGATTTTCAGAGATAAATGGATCGAGGCAGTGTCTCTTTATACTTTCTGAGGGGTATTATGAAGAGTCTTATCTACAGGCTTGTCTGGCATACTTAACTCTCCTGAGCAAGCATCAGCCTCTTCTCGGGGGCTGTGTGGCACCTAAGCCATGCAGAGGGTAGACTTCCGTTTATGAAATTCCAAAACATGTAATGTGAAATACAAAAATGTGTATGAGAGAAAATTCTAGATTGATTAATATAGGCCATATTGGACACTCCTCAGAGGTGTAATTTAGTTTTCATTCTGCCCATTCAGGTTGCAGGACGGATCCTCTGTTTTGTTTTGTTTTCTTTCTTACGTCCCTTCTCCCTGTTCCTCTCTTTCTGCTTCCTGCCTGCCTGGAATTACTTATTTAATTCCTTAAACCAGACCAAAAGCCTGGGCTGGAAAAGTCCTAGTTGGGCTCTGTCTTAGCATGTCCCACCACCCAGCCCCTCACCCCCCGGTTGTGGGAGGTCCCTGAACTCACGGAGCCCAGGCCAGAGCCCTGGGGACACCCCTCTGCTCATCAGCTGTCCCTCCACCCTGCTCACCACTGAATGCTCCTTGGGGCCAGAGCTCAGTTGCTTCTGTACCCCTTTAGACACTCCGGGGTCTTTGATGAGGCTGGAGACACTTGTCTAGACGAGAATAGTGCTCCCAGTGGAAATATAATGCCAGTCCCATATGTAACCTCAAGTTTTTCTTGTGGCCATATAAAAAAAAAAGTGTAAAAGAAACAGGTGAAATAAATATTAACGATATGCTTTATTTAACCCAATATATGCAAAGTATTATCAATTTTAATATGTAATCAGTACAAAAACTATTGAAATATTCACATGATATTTTGTGCTAAGATTTTGTGGGTTTTTTGGGGTTTTGTTTTTTAAAGTTTTATTTATTTCAGTAATCTCTCCACCCAATGTGGGGCTCAAACTCATGACCCCAAGATCAATAGTCACACGCTCGCCTACAACTGAGCCAGCTGTGTGCCCCTAAGTCTTTAAAACCTGTTGTGAATTCTATACTTAGCACATCTCAGATTGGACTCCTTTGTGGTTCTTCTATGCTGTTAGTATCCTCAGATTATCACAGAATCCTTGAAGACTTGAAATACCAGAATTTTTTTTAAGATTTTATTTACTTTTTTTTTTTTGAGAAATACCAGTATATGACCGTATTGCTGCCTGACAGAAATTTCAGGACAAGCCGCGTCATTGTTCCCAATGTTCTCTGTGGGCTTTAGGAAGTGGCATCTTGTGGTCTTTGGTTTCCCCCCAAAAGCACCTTCTGCCCAGAGGGTCCCTTGCCTTACCTGGCTCAGTTCTGGTTTCTTCTTCTCTAGTGTATGTACCTGACGAGTGGGAAGTTGCTCGAGAGAAGATCACCATGAGCCGAGAGCTGGGGCAGGGCTCATTTGGGATGGTATACGAAGGAGTTGCCAAAGGCGTGGTTAAAGATGAGCCAGAAACCAGGGTGGCCATTAAAACAGTGAACGAGGCCGCGAGCATGCGTGAAAGGATTGAATTTCTTAATGAGGCTTCAGTGATGAAGGAGTTCAATTGTCACCACGTGGTAAGAGATAGCCCCCCGGGGAAGCCAGAACCTGACACAGGGAGAACCCTTCCCTGGAGCTTCCCAGGATGTCCGTGGCCCCACTTGGGGAGTTTGGTGTCTTCCTCCACCCCCCTGGCCCCCGCCTTCCGGGGTCCCCCATCACCTCACGGTTGCCCTTAGACATCTGTGCATGGGAGGCAGACCCCGGCCAGTGGAGCCCCCTGGGGCCTGCTCATGTGGGCCCTGCAGGTCCCAGCACCAGACAGTTCGAGAAGCGTGGGTGGGGACAGTCGCGGGTAACCCTCACCCTCTGAGTCCTTCTCTTTGTCATTCCTCCCAGGTGCGGTTGCTGGGCGTAGTGTCCCAGGGCCAGCCGACGCTGGTCATCATGGAACTGATGACACGGGGGGATCTCAAAAGCTATCTCAGGTCTCTGAGGCCAGAAATAGAGGTCAGTTTTGGTTTTAACCGACTTTGCACGTTATCCGTCCTTTCCCCCAGGAGATACGGTGTCTTTAAATTTACTTACTCTCAGTATCGAATGTTTCTTGTCGCGTGCTTGGTTGTAGGTCCTTTATGTGAAAGATTTCCCTGACTAGAGGGGGACCTGTGAGCTTTTGTGAGAGGCACTTGCCATTCCTCAAGTACCCCCCTCCCTAACGCCTCTGCGTCTGTTCCTGCATTCCCTCTTCCACCACTGGTTACCTCCTCCACCGCCCACGCTCCCTGAACCCTCCCAGCCCCCAACCTCCCCAGCCCCCCACCTCCCCGGCCAGGAGGAACCATCTCCTCCGCTGACTTCTCTCCTAGCACGGACTCTCTCCTCTCTGGTCCCTGAGTGGATTCCCCTCCCACCCCATCGTGTTTGGCTTCTCACCCTGGGGAACAGCCACACCCAGTTCAGGGTCAGTGTTTGGGGCAGGCAGTCTTTCCATAAATGCTTGTCAGAGTTCAGTGTTAGAAGGACGCGATTCTTGTGCCAGGGTGGTCTCCCACCCAGCTCCATGCACAAGACAGCCTCTCCCTCATGAGCCCCCTCCCCACCCACATGCCCCTTCCCCCCACCCCACGCTGTCAACAGTCTGCGCCTTGGAGACCCGGAAGCCTTGTTTCTCAAACTCTGCACCCGCATTTCAGGCCCGATTCTGAGGCGGACTGATACTCGCCTCAGCTGCACAGTCTGCTTCGTCTAGTAAAAAAGATCCATTTGTGTTATGAGCTTCAAAATCTAAACCGGCGGGGCGCCTGGGTGGCTCAGTTGGTTAAGCGACTGCCTTCGGCTCAGGTCATGATCCTGGAGTCCCGGGATCGAGTCCCGCGTCGGGCTCCCTGCTCGGCAGGGAGCCTGCTTCTCCCTCTGACCCTCCCCCCTTTCATGTGCTCTCTGTCTCTCTTATTCTCTCTGTCTCAGATAAATAAATAAAATCTTTAAAAAAAAAAAAAAATCTAAACCGGCTGAAATCCTGTGTAATTTTTCATTAGTCACCGTGGTATCTCCCCTTCTGTGGCAGGAACCCACAAGCCAGCTTTTTATCATATGGAAGCATGACTTGAAAGTGAGGAATTCTAAGAATAAACCGGTAGATAAACACTTAAAAATAATCCCAGCAACATCTGCCTTTCATTGGGCCACCTTGGTGGGTTCAAAGTCCTTACTTTCACCCGGACTTTGTTCCACGTTGAGTAGGCTTTGTATCTGCTTGCCCCTGCCAGAATCCTTCCCTTTCTCTACCCCTTTTGAATTTCTACAGCTTTTCTCCGCTTGAGTTTAATCTTTTGTTTTCTTTTAATCTGCAACTTAATTATCCCCCACATAGTATTTCCTCAATTTGAGCTCTGAGCACCTCTTTGCGTGTGGCTTCCTTTATTCACAGCAGATGATGCTTGTGATTCTGTGAGGGTCACGAGGCTGAGTGTGGCCTGGGGCACCTGCGAGCAGGGTACAACACACCCACCCTCTGCTCTGCCACCGTGGGTCCCCAACTCCCCTGGATCTTAATGCCTTTTCCTGGCTCTCTTTGGTCATTCACAAGCCAGAGTGAAGGAGAACCGCTTCATCAGATGGGCAGCTAGAGATGCATGGCAGCGTATTTCTTTTCAGATTCATTCAAGGCACCTCTGAAAAGTATGGAACCCTCACTCCCTGCATCCCCGACTTCAGGCACAGAATAAACATTTGGGACACGTCTCAGTCCTGGCTCTGCTGTTTAGCTGTCTGCCGTCCTCAGGCAGCCGCTGCAGGCCTCTGCACCTCGGCTTCCTCACATGTAAAATAAGAGGGTTGGACAAGATGATTATCCAAGTCCTTTTCAGATCTAAAATTCACTCTTAGATTTGTCAGATTTAAACTTGTTCTTCCGAACTCATGTCAAGTATAAAAATATGTATGCTTGTCCTGCAGATTCATTATATTCTACTTGGCATCTTCTCCCCAAGTGAAGATTTGCTCATTTACTTTGCTAAATGTGGGTGTTTATGTATACATGTCTTCAGTAGCTCTGAGCAAATGAAAGATTTCCGCTCTCTGAAATGTCTGAAAGAACGGCACTGCAGCACCATGAGCCGACCAAATGGCAGCCCTCTCCTCCGATATTTACAACCAGGTTCCTTTCATTGAGTCTGTTTTTCATATTAGTTATGAATGACCACTTCCAGTAAACACATATACTTAATACTCCACAGCTTAAGTATGATAAGCATAAACTTAACATTTTACCCGCAGATTTCCTAGCATACCATGCATATCTAGAGCCCCGAAAAGGTTAAAAGGCAATGGTGGGTCCAGGGGGCGGGGGTTGGGGGGGAAACAGCTTGTCTAAACAAGGTTCCCGTGTAAAAGAAAGTGGTGGCTCAGGCTTACCCTTGAGGACGTCATGTCACTTCCCCAGGAAACTCAGTGATAAGTATTTTGAATCACCAGAGACGGTGTTGATAATCTCTTCAGAAGGTGAATGTATGTCAAGCATAGGGAACTAACCGGGAAGTACTTGGAGGGTTGTTACCCTGCTTCTAGAAGGCAGCTTGCAACAGAGACTAGCACGTCACTGGACAAAGCCAATCTCCACCAAGCACAGACCCTGTCCAGGGTCCAGGCACTGGCAGGCACTTTCCATGCATGGTCCCAGCTCGTCCTCCCAGCAGTGATCCCACCCAGGCATGCTCTGCCCATGGTCCACAGGGTTTGAGCTGGGAAGGTGGCATGTGGGACCTGTCAGAGCAACTTGGCTTTGCAGTGTTGTAACAGATGCTCTGTAGTCAGGGAAACTGAGGTAAAATCTATTGTGCTAGCATGAGCAAGAGGTGGTTAGCATCTAACCTGTGGCAAGCTGATTGGCTTTGTATTTTTTTTTTAAGGTTAGAGAGATTTGGGCACATGTTTTATATAAACTTTTTTCCACATGGATTTATTATTATTATTTGGAGGCATTGCTCTTTAATTCTAAAGCCAGTATGTTGCCCTCCTCTGCAAAAAAAAAAAGGAAATGCTCATCCATGTTCCATGTCACCGTTTTATATTCATCCCCCTCTGGAATAAGCTTCACCTGGACTTAAATGGCAAGTGCCTGTTTTCCTTGGTGTCCCTGGAAAATAATAATCCAAAGAATGCCACATTGTAAGGTGAAAACATTAATCTCAATATTTTTATACTTTAGAAGAAAGTTGAAGAGAAAGAGAAAGATCAAATAATTTATAACAATGCTTATGTGGGAAATAAAGCATACAGTGTCCGTTTGGGAAATACATTTGCTTATTTCCCCATAGCCTTTGTAATATTCTCTCCGTCCTTTTACCTGTACTTTGATTATAGAAATAAAAGGAACATATGAACTAATAAAAATTTGAGTAACCAAGAATTCGTAATATGAGAAATTGTTAGTTTCACTTTAAATACTTTTTGTCCTACCCAAAATAGAAAATGCTGGTCCCAAGTTGTGCTAATTGGTGTTTCTCTCTGCAGCTTTGTGTGATGTGGTCAGTGAGCAAGCGCATGACTTTACCACGAAGCAGATGCTATGGTCTCCATAATAATATGTTCCCTCTGAGCAAGTCCTGCTTCTTAGGTCATTACCTGTGGTACTCAGATTGAACCAAGATGGATTTGCACACCCTGAAAGAACGTAGGGTGGGAAAAACTCCTTCAATTCTCACCTGAGTTTTTTTTTTTAATCTCCAACAGAATAATCCAGTCCTAGCACCTCCAAGCCTAAGCAAGATGATCCAGATGGCTGGGGAGATTGCAGATGGCATGGCATACCTCAACGCCAACAAGTTTGTCCACAGAGACCTTGCTGCCCGGAACTGCATGGTGGCCGAAGATTTCACGGTCAAAATCGGAGGTGTGTTCTTAGCTTTCCAGATCTGAACAAGAACTCAACTCACACATTTCAGGGACTGAGTTGGCATTAGCCTACCTGTGAAGAGGTTTTCCAGTGCATCCCATGAGTACAGAGTCTTACTCTTGGGAATAATGTGGCTATCTCCAGTTGATAGTCAATCACAGACCTGGCTGGGTTGGCTCAAATCCCAATAGCACATGTGGGCACAGTGAAACAAGCAGTGGGCAAGGATGGGCTGAGGCCACGGTCCCTGAGATAGCCTCTCCCAGCACTTGAGGCATTTCTTGGCAGAACAGTTCTAAGCATTGGTTACAGAAATAATTGAGGCAACATCCTCAGATTATTTTGACCTGGGAATAAAAGTTGCCATCTGAACTACCAATATCCCCTCAATATTCCCAGCTTGTAAGGAGCTTTGTCTTCCCAGTGGTCCATGGAGTTTTCTAAGAGGTGAGGTCCCCTAACAGTGAAGGCACCTACACAGAGCAAGAGCAGTGACAGGGACGTGGCAAGCCCTGTGACAGGGAGGTGGCAGTCCTTTATTGGGGTTCACACCCAAGTTGATCAACCTCTAAACTCTTGACCTGTTATAATACTTAGCTGACCAACCTGCTGGTTAGACCTCTTATTGCCACCACCCACTCAAACACCAAAAAAAAAAGGTTGGATTGCATTTCTGGCGCTAGTTAGAAATTCATTTCAGCCTTTAGGTTTGGACTTTGCTTCTTTGATCTCTTAATCCTGATTAAAGAAAAACAGAACAGAAACCACATACAACCTCAGGGCTGCTCAGGAAAACACCTCCTCTTACCAGAACCCTTATCTTCCTACTATGAGATGATGATGGTTCAGAAAAACATCAAATATTTATCCTGAGAAACTGTAGGGGACACTTTACATCTGAAATCTATTTAAAATTAACCTCTTTGACTTTGCTGACTTTCCCAACACATAAAAACAGACACAGAGAGTTAGACAAAATGAGGGGGCAGGGAATATGTCCCAAACAAAAGAACGGGACAGAATCACAGCAACAGAGCTAAACAAATCAGAGATGAGCAATATGCCTGATAGAGAATTCAAAGTAATCGTCATAAAGATACTCACTGGACTTGAGAAGAGTGGAGGATCTCATTTGAGACCTTCAACAAAGTGATACAAAATATACCAAAGAAGCAATCAGAGATGAAGAACTCAATAACTGAAATTAAAAATACACTAGAGAGAATAAGAAGTAGAGGAGGCAGAAGAACAGATCAATGAGCTGGAAGAGAGAGTAATGGAAAGCAACCAAATGGAACAGGAAAAAGGATAGGTTAAAGGAAGTTAGAGGATAGGTTAAAGGAAGTCAGTGACACCATCAAACATAGTAACACTCACATTATAGGGATTCCAGAAGGAGAAGAGAAAATTTATTTGAAGAAATAATAGCTGAAAACTTCCCCAAACTGGGGAAGGAAATAGACTGAAGAAGCAGAGAGAGCCCCCAACAAAATCAACCCAAGGAGGTCCACGACAAGATACATAATATTAAAATGGCTAAAAGTAGTGATAAAGAGAATTTTAAAAGCAGCAAGAAAAAAAGAAAACAGTTACATACAAGGGAAACCCTGTAAAACTATAAGCTGATTTTTCAGCAGAAACTTTGCAGGCCTGAAGGGAATGGCATGATATATTCAAAGTACAGGAAAAATAATAATAAGGTAAAATGAAACTAACCTCTTTGTCTAGTTCTTGAGCTGTCTATTCTGGAAATGCTCACCTTTCCTTAGCAGTAATTTTTTTCTTTAGCAATGATTTTGAATGAACTATTTTGGCCCTTTAGTTGTGAACAATGAGTATCCCCTCTAGAATAGTTACAAATGAGGGGTGATTTTTCATTTGTAGGAGACAGGGGTGATGAATGGAGCCATATCATAGAGTAAACATCCCTTAGTCATCAGAATTACTCAGGAGCCACCAGTGTGTCCCTGAATTTGGCCCTTTGAAGCACCCACACATCTGGTGCCCCTTGAAGCCCAAGAGGCTGTCATGCCCCAGGGTTTGCAAGGAAGAGCCTCCCTGGCTGCTGTCTGCGCTTTCTTTGTGCTTCCTGCTCACTCCCCCCTTCCCTTTCCATTCCCCTCCCTTTTTCATGGGGACTCAGATTGTTCCCACAGGGATGCTAACCAGTTCCCCTTCCCCAGTACTAGGGAACCGGGAAGGCCTGAGCTTAAATCTTGGTTCTACCAATAACAGATAAGACTCGGGCCAAGTGCCTTAAGTTCTGTGAGCCTCAGTTTCTGTCCCTCTGAAATGGGCATGCTGATACAGCAGACCCATGAGATGGTGGGAAGAAGTGGGTGCAGGGAAGCTCTAAGCACATGGCTGGCATGGGGCTGGTCCTCAGTAGATATTTGGTTCCTCCGGCCGTCGGCATCGTGCTTCCTACCCTCTTTCCGGCACATGCAGGAGCCTGGTTCGTGCTATTCTCTTCCTGGTTTCACATCACGGTGGGAGAGCTATTGTTGTGCGACTTGCCATTTGAAGTCCCAAGTCAGCAAGGACCATATTTACCGTTTAACCAGGTGGCACATTTATAGTGCCATTTTCTTTGTACTTGTGGTTTTTCTCCCTAAAATTTGAAATTTTTCTTTTGTGTTAAGAAATAGCTTGTGTTCTTTTTCTGGGATTTCCTTTTTTTTTTTGGTCCTTTTTGTGCAAGTAAAGGCAAGTCTTCTCATTTGCATGTCACTGGATTAATTCTGAGATAAGACTTCAACATTTCATTTTTATTCTTCACTAGGGTTCAAAAACCCTGTTTTTCCTATGCCCAGTGTCTCATGGATTACAAACATGACAGGTAATTTTACCAGAGGCAGTTCGATGGCCCTCAGCTCAGTACAAGTAAATTGTGTTGGTTAACGTCCAAGGAACTTTATTCCCTATGTTTGCTTTGTAGCCTTACCGCTTTGTGGCACAGTTAGAGACATGAATGAACATTTTAGAAAGGAGAGCAGCCCTTTCTCCTGGGAAGGCGAACAGAAGAGTCCCTGTAAGAAAAGGTTGTACGATTGAGTGGAAAATCAAAATCTGACAAAGAAGCAATAATTTAGGATTATAAAGCAAGCCTGCCATCAAACGTAATTATGTGACATCTTCTAGAGACATGGAAAATGGAAGAAATTTTCAAAAACGAGTGGGAGTATTATGATGAAAAACATTATTGAGTAATAGCTCCAGGGGCCTAGTAAATAGCATCTCCTAGGCATCTTACTGGGTACTTTTTTTCCCCGTGAATCTGTACTTTCAATATTTTCCCCCATATTAAGCAGCAAAACTATTTTATTTCCTCTGGCAGTGGGGCAGTGCTACCGAGTAAATAAGAGTCAACATGCCCTTGTTTATTTCACCAGGTTTTAAAACCACATATAAGTACCTTTGGTCTACACAGTACATATTTTCTTGATAAACTGTAAGGCTTGATAATGTGTAACTGCTTCTCATTTTAAATGAATAAAGAAATTAACTATTTATTTATTTGGAATTAACTTTTTTAAAAAGATTATTAGAGAGCAGGGGGAGGGGCAAAGGGAGAGGGAGAGAAAGAATCTCAAGCACACTCCCTGCTGAGCACAGAGCCGAACTCGGGGCTCGATCTCACGACCGTGAGATCATGACCTGAGTCAAAATCAAGAGTCGGACGCTTAACCGACTAAGCCACCCAGGCTCCTCTGGAATTAGCTTTTTTAAAGAGTCAAATTATAAACATCTGAAAGCCGAGATTTTTTGGTATTTCTTTGTCACGTGATTAATCAGTTATCCCTTACTGATTCTGCCTCATACAACTGCAAACACTGAGGCCCAGCCTCCTTAAAGTACGGCTCCCCCTTGGATGTGGTTGTAGGGCCCTCCCCTGCAGCAGGGATGGGACATCTTTGCTTCTGCCCTGAGAGCTGCTCAGAGTACGTCACTCTGGCGCCTTCTCTCCACCTTACAGATTTCGGTATGACGAGAGACATCTACGAGACAGACTACTACCGGAAAGGAGGAAAGGGGTTGCTGCCTGTGCGCTGGATGTCCCCCGAGTCTCTCAAGGATGGAGTCTTCACTACTCACTCCGACGTCTGGTATGAGAGACTTTTCCTGTACCACAAGCCCGGAGCCCTCCAGCCTCCACAGATCCCATTGGCTCATTCTCAAGGGCATTATTTTCCTCCTGTTTTCTGTTCAATCTTACCCCATTTCCAGCTTCGGCTAATAAATGTTACGTGGGCCACATTGCTGCGTTGTTTAAGGGTTCCTGTTGTGGGCAGGCTAGCTGAGGGCATTTGTGGGATCTAAAGAATTTATAGGGCCAACATTTCTTTCGATCCTTAGCTGCTCACTAAGCGGCCAGGAGCCCTGGAGACAGGGCACCAGGAGTCCGAGAACTTCACCTCTCCCCTGCCTGCCTGCTCTCATTTTCTCTTTCCCAACAGCCACTCTGTGTGTGCGCGGCTGCCTTACCTAATTAAAACTTCAGATTGCAGACGTTACTTTATTTAGACCCAAAGCTCACGAGTCCGGATGTGTTTTCTTGTTGGTCCCATCTGCTGTCTGTCCTTTTTCCATGGGCATCATCATCGTTGACCCAAGGATGGTATGGAAAGCAAAATGTCTCCCTTAATAATAAATGTATCTTGGTGTCGAAAGCTTACCAGCTGAGGAATGCAGAGGACTCTCAGTAGTACTGTTTATTGTGATTCATCAGCAACATTGCAGAGAGGAGGTCAGGCTCTAAAATACAACTGAGGTCCTTGGCAGGCCGAGGTCCTGGCACATCTACCTTCTAGCACGTCAGCTAATTTCTTGGCTGTCCTCTCAGGAGGTCCCATTGCTGATGTGTTACAGAAATGGTAGTTGTTTACTCCAAATGCCTGGATGACCACATAGAGGAGCTATTTAAATAGTGACCGACATCGTCTTTTTTTATAACCTCGTGAACCTTTCACAGTTCGAGGGCCTTGGATCTTTGAAGACAGGTGCAAATTGGAAATAGCATTTGAATATGACCCGGCAAAGCGCGATTGCCTCTCGAGTTCACGTAGGAGACCCGTTTTGCAATCAGCCTGTCCAAGATACTTATCTCTTTGCTGTCAAGTCAAAGTGCTCACCATCATTTTTAGATGTAGAGATGATGGGGAGAGGACAGGCCTGGGTCTGTTCCTTCATCTGATTATTCTAGCCTCCATGCCTCCAAAAGCTCCAAGGTCAGCTTACAGTGTGATAAAATAGAAAAAACTGTGAGAGTCAGGGAAAACAAGGGGAAGAATAGGAAGATAAAACTAGAGTTATTAATATCTCCAGGCTAATTTTGCCCAAAGTCTGGTTAGCAACGATTGCGACAAGAAGCAACGAAGGGACATATAGGGTGTTCGATGCCATTGTTCTCTCACTTGATGGCATAGATGTTATGAACCAATAATATATTTATATAAACAAGAGTGAGTATTTGGTATTCATTCCATTCACTGTCCAGGCATTGAGTACTTTAGGTTTTTGTTTTTTTAACACAGCCTTTGAGGGTAACACAGGTAGGTAGGGTAGGCCGGCCAGGACGTTGGTGAGTATGGAAGGTTTCTCAGTTGCCTAGAATTTAAAGCTTCCCCTGTCAAAGGAATGGAAATCATTTTATTAAAGGTTTTTCTTTTTTTTTTTTTTTAAGATTTTATTTATTTGACAGAGAGAGTGAGTGAGCATAAGCAGGGCAAGCAGCAGAGGGAGAGGGAGAAGCAGACTCCCTGCTGAGCAGGGAGCCCCATGCAGGGCTCGATCCCAGGACCCTGGGACCATGACCTGAGCCAGAGGCAGACACTTAGCCGACTGAGCCACCCAGGTGCCCCAGTCATTTTAGAATATGTTCAATAGCATAGTCATTCCTAAACAGTTGAAAATCTAGAAAGAGAGACAAAGGATTTTATTTGACTTTGTAAAGGAGACCCAGAATCTCAGGTTTGGGGGGTATCCCTGTGGTCACGTCCAGCCCCCAGGTTCCATCCATGGCACCTTTGACAGCTAGTTGTTGAGCTTCTGCTCACGTCTCTAGGGACTGCTTACTCCCTCCCTCACAAAAACAGACCACCCTATTTCTTAAGACATCCTTGTTCTTTGCTGGTCTTGCTCCTGTCATGCCTACATCTGTCTCTTGGTGATACCCGCTGACCCTTCTCTGTGGCACAGTGCACACCCCGCCCTGGTTTTGATAAGATGGGCCTTGGAGTCACAAGGAAGTGGTCTCTTTTCTCTAGTTTGGACATTTCCACATTTTTCTGCGGCCCTTTGAGATTTTATTCCCAGGCGCTTGGACACTGTGTTGGCTCCTTCGACAGCTCCTCTGTAGCGCTGTATCCCAGCCTTTGGGTTAGAAGACACGAGTGTGTTCCCTTCCTGGGCATCTGGGTCAACCTACAATAGTCTTCATGTCTTGACTCACTAAGGTTTCCAAACCGCCACAAATATCCAGGGTTGGTTGCACGCACTTATAATCATTTGCTTCTTTAGTGGCTAATGAATGAGAGCGGGGAACGTGGGTCTCTCTGTAGGTCTTGAGTTGCTGGTGGGTGGGACACTGACCCGATCCCGTCTTGGTATGCTGAGGCGTAGTTGCTGACCTCAGGCAGCCCTGGCACTGACCTGTGAGATTCACAGCAAGTTGTCCCTTCGCTGGGGGAGAACAGTGCTCATAATGAGAAAAGGCGTCACACAAAGGCATTTGTCCAGTGTTTCAGGAAGAAATGTGTCCACAAAATTCATGACTTGGTTTTATATGATGGCATTAATACCAGTGCCACATGGCAAATTACCTGCTTTGAAAAACACATGAGTTTTGCCTATTTCTGATTGGCTGTGTGGCCTTGGTCAAGCCATGGGACATCTCTGGGCTTTGGTTACTCCATCTGTGAGGTGAGGGGTGAGGTGTGTTTAGGAATGTCTACACGCCCTACAGGGTCTGCAGGAGCTTGATGGGTGTTTAAACAGCCCCTGTGACAAGTGGTGATGCCCCGGGGCCATCTTGGTGTTGGGTAGAGTTGGTTAGGCCTCCGTCCTTTAGACCCCATACAGCTGGTCACGTCCCGTGAAGGATGACCAGACTCCAGCATTAAGTGGCCCTCGCTGACAAGCGACACGGACGTTACACAAGAGTCACTCCAGGGAAGGCCTCTGGGGGAGAGCCGGGCCTCTTACCTGCTGTGTTATTTCGCGGGTGTGATCGCAAGGACCTGGTGAGGCTCAGGACACGCTCAGCGTGTGCAAGAACAAGGTGACTAGAGACACACTCCCTGTCCTTGAGGGGTGAAGTCTTAGGGGAAGAGGAAGTGATCCTGACAGGCTAGAGTCACAGAAGCCTAGCCAGAAGAGATGGGGTCATAGGGCACCCTAAAATATGAATTGTCACCGATGGGGACATGAGGGTGCGGGTTTCGGGCAGCGGGAATGTTGCGGGGTGGACGGGGAGCCCTGGCAGCAGGACTGGGCTCGCTGCCTGTGGAGGCTGGTGGGACTCCCTTGAGGGAATTAGGGTAGAGAGAGACCAAGTAAGGCCTCAGACCAACGTTGTGTTAGGGGCTTGGGCCTGATCCTTCAGGTTCTACAAAGACGCGTAAAGCTTCTGAAGGAAGCATGACATAGGAGCGTGACCTGGCTCTGTGTTTTAAGATGTTCACGTTTGGGGTGCCTGGGTGGCTCAGTCGGTACACTGCTTTCTGCTTTCGGCTCAGGTCATGATCCCAGGGTCCTGGGATCAAGCCCCGCGTTGGGCTCCCTGCTCGGCAGGAAGCCTGCTTCTCCCTCTCCCACTCCCCTTGCTTGTGTTCCCTCTCTCACTGTGTCTCTCTGTCGAATAAATAAATAAAAATCTTTAAAAAATAAAATAAAATAAGATGTTCACGTTAGCTGCAGAGTAAGGCAGTGGAGTCAGGTGCCAGCGCCCAAACCGGAGGTGCTGTCGGCCAGGCGAGGGGGGCCACGGGCGCGGTGCTGGGCCCCGACGAGGCCGAGGGATGGAGGACCTGGGGTGGACTGCTCAAGTGGGGCCAGAAGAGCAGGGCCGCGGGACAGGCTTGAGGTCGCGACACGGGAAGTTCCCGGTAGCCAAGGGACCGGGAGCTTGAGGCTGAGCAGCCGTGGCGGAAAGGGTCGCTGCGGGCGCCGGTGAGCGAGGCCGGGCTGCCGCAGCCTGTGTAAGGTGCGTGGCTCCGCGAGGGAACCCTGCTCTCAGGTAACCCCTCGGGCGAGGCCCGCAGCCAGTAAAAACAGCAAGCTTGTCGTTTCCTGGGCTGTCCTGCCTAGCCGAGGGGTCGGTGGGGAGCCATAGCCCTGCGGGACGTGTCCCCACCCCACCCCCCGCCGAAGCTGATAGAGAAGCTGGCTGCCCCAGCCTCCGAACGCCGCACCGAGGTCTCTGGGTCTTTGGCTTTTCTAGATCTCTTGTGCAATACTGAAGACTGTTTCTTGGTCACTGGAAATTAAAAAGGATCTTGGCTGGGTCAGTCCTCTGCTAAGATTCTATATTTGTGTCTCACATCTGCTCTTAGTACCAGTTTGCACAGAAACCTTTTTTTCACAGCAAAGGAGCTATAGCTGAGGCAGTGAATAGAACATTCTGGTACAGAGTCGGAGGCCCTCCTGGCTCAGGCTCCCGGCCAGGATCCCGAGAGCTCTCCGTGGGAAGTGCCGGGCCCCAGAATGTTTGGTGTGGCTCTGCCCGCGCCCCTGGCCTTGCACGGTCCCCGTCAGAAGCCCCTCGGGCCGTTGGCTGCTGACGAGCCTGCTTTATTCTGCCGAAATGAACCGAATATAAAGGCAAATAGGCCGAGGAAAATGTGTACGAGATGGCAGCGCGTGTTGGGAAGGCACCTTTATTTTGCAGATTACAGCATCGCCTTTTTCAGCATTATCTACCTGAACTTTCTGTGTGCATGTATATGTATTTTCACTTGTCTTCCAGTAGTCGGATCTTCTAAAGCAACAGGCAAAACCGCACGCTTGGCAGAATCGCTCACTGCTCCCCTTGCTGAATTGACTCCTCAGCCCCTTGCCCCTGGGCTAAACTCTGCTTAAGGATGCCTGGTGGCCCGTGAGCCCCATAACCAGCCAGTACCGCCCTCCTCGCTGCACCCCCCCACCCTGAGACTGAGCCCTCCATAGGCCAGCCGCAACCCCAGCCCCCGTGGGGCTTCTCTCCCCGCCGGCCCCACCAGACCTGGGAGATCCCCAGTGAGCTTTCCAACACTGCAGACCAATGAAATGAGAACTGTGGTCCGGGACCTCAGGCTTCGGTGTGTTTGGAGACTCTACTCCGCAGGCAGCGCTGAGAGCTCCTTGCGTACAAGTTTGCACAACGCGGGAGTGCGTTGACGGGCTCGGCTGTGGCAGGCCGCGTGCGGGCCCACTACACCAGGGGCCCAGCAGGGCCTGGGGATCTGCCTTTGATGACAGGCTAGAGCGCCTGCTGGCGGCCTCGCTGGGGCCTCAACTCAGCTTGTCCGGCCTTCACATGAGCACACAGGTGCTTCCTAGCCCTTCGGGGACCCGGCAAACCCCCTCCACCCCGGCTTCCTCCACCGTGCCTGGGGGCTGAGTCTCCTGCTCAGGGAACGTGAGCGGCAACCGCGGAAGATGGTGCTGGGCACGCTGCAGGACGCGCTCAGCTGTCGCTTGGCGGACCGTCGCTCGGCACCCGGGGTCTGCCCTCAGCTTTCTGAGCCCTCACGTTGTCCCCTATGTCCCGTAGGTCCTTCGGCGTCGTGCTCTGGGAGATCGCCACGCTGGCCGAGCAGCCCTACCAGGGCTTGTCCAACGAGCAGGTCCTTCGCTTCGTTATGGAGGGCGGCCTTCTGGACAAGCCGGACAACTGCCCCGACATGCTGTACGTACCTCCTGGGCCCCGGCCACCCCCCTTCCCAGTTCCCTGATCAGTGACCCCCAGGGCGGGTGGTGAGGGGCTCTGAGAGCCAGTCTCTCGGGCCCCGCAGGTGCTGTGAAGGCCGGTGGGGCGTTTAGAAGAGGGTCATCCTGATGGCAGGAACCCGTGCCTTCGTGGAGCTGCCTCAGTTTCACCCCGTCTCCCTTATGCTTCTGGTTCCGACGTAATGGCTGGCACTGAGCGTGATGGTGCCCCACGCACGCCGCCGCCACAGGGGCTCCCTCGGGTTTCTTCCCTGCTGAGTGCTGACTAAGCCATGAAAGCCACATGCTCTCCGGAGCTTCATCCAGTGACCCATGGGGCACCTGGCTCGAGGTTCAGCTGACCTCCCTGCAGACTTTGGGCTTTGGGCGCTGGCACTTCTTTTTAACAAAATCATTCAGCGTCGTGTTCCTGAGATTTGTCCGCTAAGGGCAGAGTGTCCATGATGTGTCCTGGGCCTCACTGCTCGGTGTTCTTAGGATCCCTCTGTTGGCGGGGGTCAGAGCTGCGGAAGGCTAGAGGGCCGCGTTGTCTGTGCACAGGAGGAACAAGTCAGAGGAGGGTGTGAAGGTGTTCTGTGGCTGGGTCGTCGGGGGCAGGACAAGGACCGGGACAGGTAGGCGACGGTGCACTTGGTTTCCACAGGCATGTTGAGGTGGGGCTCAGAGATTCTTCCAGATCCCAGTGGGTGGAAGGAAGGCTACTACTACTAGTACCTCAGGACCAATTCTGGAATTTTCCAGAAGTACTTTTCAGGACATGTTTGGATCCCGAAGGAATGGTCGGGCTGTCTCCGTGTCTAAGACCCCTCGATCTGCCTCAAGGGAGCACTGCCTCAGGCTGGGGCCTCAGAGCGGCGGGATGGTTTGCAAATACGCGTCAGATACCATTTCATCTGGATACCAGGGAAACTGGCCTCAACAGTCATGAAAGCTCCACTCGTTTGAATCTCTCACCGGTTTCCTTAGGTCAGGAATCCAGACACAGGTGTGCTGGCCCCTCTGCTCAGTCTCACCAGACTGAAATCAGATGTAGGCTGGGGCTGCCATCATCCGAGGCAGTGGGCCTCCCTCTTCCACGCCCTTTAGGTTGTCCGCAGGACTCAGCCCTGTGGCTGTGGGACTGGGGTCCTTCCAGAGAGTGGGTCTTCTCCCACCAGAGCAGCTTCCTTCTTCAGAGCCAGCAAGAGCATCTCTCCGTTGCTTTTACCTTTTGTTTTACCCGATTAAGCCACATCTACTGCCAGATAATCTCCCTTTTGGTTAACTCAGAGTCCACGGATGAGAAAACTAAAATACCTGAGTGAAATCCTGTCATCTTCCTTAGTCCAACCCACATTCAGGTGAGGAGTTGCATGATGACGCATTTACACCAGGGGCAGGAATCTTGGGGAGCATCTTAGGGTCTGGCTGCCACAGCTTGGGAAGCAGAAACCATTGTCTGTCAACAAACCACGGTTTTGTGGTTTTTTCTGAAGGACTTGGTTGCTACCAAGACTGAACCTCCCCAGCTCCATGTAGATGTGGGAGGCCTTGTTCCCATGGCCCTGACTGCGCAGCTGCAGGGCCCGTGGGCTGGGGGAGACTCGGTGTAGCACCCCTGTGCTGCGGAGTACGTTAGCTGGGCCCTATGCCCTGTTAACTGCTACTTCTGAATGTTTGTTCAGCTGAAGCCTTTTCTATCCCACGGACAGTTTGCACGGAATTAAGAAAGAGGACCCACGATTGCCATAGGGAAAGCGGCATCCTTGCATCTGCATGTGTGTGTGTGTGTGTGTGTGTGTGTGTGTGTGTGTGTCGGGGGCAGGGGAACCCACTGATCATCTGAGCATGGGCCTAGAGTAGGAAATTTGCATGGTCCTAGACATGGGGCGCAGAGTAGGCCCACCGGTGACAGGAGGCTCTACTTCTCAGAGGGCAGTGCATATGGCGGGGGCGGGGGGGGTGGTGGTGGTGGTGGCCGAGACCGGGTGGGAGGTCCCTCGAGAACCTTCCCAATTAGCCTCTTCAGACTTCAGGACCCAAAGTTAGAAGAGACTCAAAAGGGCGCTTAGTTTAAAAGGAAAAAAAAAAAGTCACTTAGTGCATTTTCTTGCCTACTGTGGAAATGCTCCCTCTCCCGAACTGTACAGTTTTTTACTGCAGTACAACATCATCCCAAAGCTAACAGTTTAAAACAACAATAAGCATTTGCCATCCCACGGAGTTCCGAAGGCCGGGAAGCCAGGAGCGGCTCGGCTGAACGGCTCGGGCTCCGAGTCTCTCGGCCAGGGCTGCAATCAGCAGAAGGCTTGACTGGGGCTGGGATCCACTCCCAGGGTGGCGCACCCGTGCGGCCAAGTGCCAGGCAGCGGGCTTCTCCTCGAGCAGGGCTCAGCAGACGCTTCCTCTAGAAGGGCAGAGAGGAAATATTTTCGGCTCCAGGGGCCCATACAGTCCCAATGACAGCCATTCACCTCTGTCATCGCGCCAAAGCAGTCACAGATACCACGTGATCGAGCCATGGCTGTGCCCCCGCACAACTTGATTTGGGGATACTGAAGTTTGAATTTCCCATAATTTTCACGTCACAAAATATTATTCTTATTTTGATTTATTTTTTCCAACCACTCTTAAATATAGAAACCATTCTTAGCTCCTAGGGCTTAAGAAATTGGCCCGGAGGCTAGATCTGGGCCGTGGGTGCCCGTAGGTTGCCCACCCTGCCCAAGAGCAAGTGATTCCAGGGCAGAGCAGAAGCCACAGAGGCCGTTATGGCCTAACCCCAGGGGGCAGCCCTCCATGACGTGGTTGATTACAGCGGGCATGCATACCAGGAGGTGGGGGTCCCTGGGGGCTGGCTACCACAGCCCACTGACTCCCACTTTCCCTCACAGGTACTGTTCTCTCTGAACAGTATGGTCACTGTATCCTTGTCAGCCCATTAGAAGAGAAATCTTCCTTCAGAGCAGAAATCTAAGTAATGGAGTATGAGGAGTGATGCCCACTGAATGTGCATCCAAGTGTCTGGTGCGGAACAGAGGCGGTGGCTAGAACCTGTGGTGTGGCACGCTTAGAGACAGTCCGAGAAAGCAGGTGTGCGTTTTGTTCACATGGTTTGGGGGTGGTGGGAGGAGAGGTATTGTTTTTTGAGCTTTCTCTTTGACTCAGATGAGTGTTGGCCGCTGAGAAACTCGTGGGACTCCTGAAGTTGACCTACCTCCTGGTGACTGGAGTTTTGATATTAATTTAATATGCCTGGGAAGCAGCCCACCTGCCGTGGGAAAAGCGGTAAACTTCCTGTTCCCAGCACAGAGTGACCAGGAAACTCACACGGAGAGGTTACCGTTGGACATTAAATGTTTAATTCACGAGGCATTTCTGCTTCGCCATCCAGAACCCCTGTGGCAAACTGTTCTCCCTTCTAAGAAAATAACAAAATGGAGGGAGGCGAGTTGGTTGTACGGGGTGGGGAGTGTCTGTGTTGTCCTGAACTTCCTGATGAGCTTAGGTGAAGGAGTGTTCTGGGAGAGGAGTTCTTTTGTTACGTAGGCACTGAAAGAACGGACTCCTGTTTGTCCCAGAGGAGAGGAGAGTCGCCGAGCTCTTGGGAGTTGCCCCAAAGCCCTGCTGGGCCTCCAAGTGGGAGAGAGACCCCTTCAGTTGTGTGGCTCCAGAGGTCTGAGTGGACCCCAGCAGGGTAACGCGGGGGCGGGGTGCGCAGTGGCTGCTGGGGGCACTCAGCTCTGCACCAGCGTCTTGGCGATGCCCACAAGCATGTGAAGGGGGCTCCGCTGGAGTGGCCAGGAGTCCCCATCCCCTCAACGGCGCCACGCACTTGGGCTTTAGAGGAAAGGCTCCATGGTCCAAGCCACAGAGAGTCTAGGCTTGCGAGTCTTAACACCGACACTCGGTTTGAATTAATTTAACAAGTGGCACGAGATCAGATTTGACTTGTGGTTCGCTGGTGGTTCCGCATTTTAAATGGATGACAAAGCCCATCTCGCGTCTCTGTACTTACACCACGAATGTCCTTGAGCCCCTCTGGCTACACGCTGACTGCTGACACCCCAGAGACGGCCGTAAGGCACAGTCCTAGCTCTCAGAAGCCGGGTAGCAGGGCCGGATTCTACTGCTGCAGGACATACCTAGAGCAGAGCTGCGCCAGAGTGTAAGCCCTGGGCCAAGAAGCCGTATGGTCTTCCATAAAACTTCCAGTGTCACACGTCCTTGCCGGGGCCGGTCCTCAGTATACAGCACTCAGGACAGAATTTGAAGTTTTTGGCCCAGAGAGTCACCAACTCATAGATGAGTCTGGAACAGATTCAGTAGACTCTGGTGGGTTTTGCAGTTTTCAAACGCCCTTTTTCCTCTTGCTGATTAAAGCTCCCTCCTCGCTGGTGATCCTGTGCTGGTTTTGTGGGAATCGGGTGCTGGAGTAGAATCCAAACCGTCAGGAATGGCTGTCCTCGCCTGGTTAGCCGTGCTGCGACCATGGGCTGTCCCGCGGTACCTGGGCCCCGCGTTTGATCTCGGCCCAAAGACAGAGTGACTTGGGGTGAGGGGTCAGGCAGGCCTGCTGTCCCCCTGCCGGCCCGGCTGAGAGGAGGCTCAAGAGACGATCCTGGCTGTCCCGGGCTGCCAGGAGGAGGTGGAGGGAGGGGCACACCCAGCCCTTCTGGGCTTTTCTGGCATCTGGTCTTTGTTGCACGGTGGCCAAGTGGACTGTGCTACCTCTCACGTCTTGGCTTGTGCTCACAACCTGCGTGCATGCCCAGCAGGGCCAAGAGTAGGGTGGCGATCTGGAGGCCCCTCTGTGTGCAGGATGGGAGGGGGCAGGCCAGTTGTCCCTCTTCCTCACGCTGCCCCCCGGGGTCACACATGTCTCCCTTAAGCGGCTTCACTGCAGGGCAGGGCAGCAAGCAGCTCCAGTCCATCTCTTCCCTGACCCCCCCCCCCCGGGGGTTGAAGGGGCTGCGCAACTCCCCCCTCCCCGGCCCCCACAAGGGGTCATTCGGGAAAGGACAGCTCGGCCTCAGCAGAGCCAACTAGTTGTAAAACATGGGGCTTTTTTAAAGAAGAGCTTTATCAGCCCATAAATCCTTCTAGAGTCTACTGGAAAGTTTTCTTGTGGAGATAGTGTAAACAAGGTCTTGAATCCGACAGAGTGAAAAAGACTTCCTTTTATGGGCAGCCCTGGAAGGGCTGTGACTGGGGCCTCACATGGTCCTTTGTGCTGTTGTCACTCCAGTCGTTCCCCTGCTGGCTGGTGGCACCTCCTCAGCATCCCCCCCAGGCCGCAGCAGCCCCGAGCCAGGGCCCATCACCCCATCACGTGCTCCTGGCCCCGGCCCCCAGCCGCGCCTCTAGCCGGGGACAGGTCGGTCAGCCAGAGAGGAGAGCGCGGCGGAGCCATAGAGAGGGGCCTCGTGTACTGTTTGGTGGGGGGGAGCCCTTCTCCCTGGGCAGTAGTGGGAGGTCAGGGAAGGCAGGCTTGTTTGCCATCTGATCCGAGGCGGGAGCTGCCTGTTTATCTGTGCAAATCCCCCACGACACTGACTCGAGAGGAACCGGTCTCCTGGGGGGACCACGGTGGTTCTCGCTGAGGCTGAGAAAATGCCCCTTTCCCTGAGGTAGGTGGTGTTCAGCGCCCAGCCCCGCTCCGCCCTCACTGTTGGGACAGACTGTGTCATCTCTGGGGACTTCCGCTTCTTCACCTACGCAGTGGGCATGTAGTCTCGGGCGCCGGCCTCCCGGACTCGGGAGGATGAAAGCAGGCCGCGCGGGTAAAAGCCCGCGCGCCGCCCCGTGTGTGTTTCGGAGCGCGTTAGGCCGAGGCCGGTCCTGGCCTGCGGCTGGTGGCTGGGCAGGGGGCTGGTCGGGAGGGGAAAATCCAGTTGGTCTTCACATTTCGTCCAGATCTTTTGCTGCCAGAGCACAGGTAGCAGACGTGTTTGATATAGGGCCACAGGACGAATATTTGGGGCTTCTAGGCCAGTCTCTGTTCCAACTACTCAACTAAAAGTTGGCCCCCCGTGAGAACAGCCACAGACCTATGAACAGATGGGCATGGCTGTTCCAATAAAACACGATTTACAAAAACAGGTAGCAACACAGGCCAAAAGTCTCCTGTGCCCACCCTCCCGCAAGGTCACATCCTCTTCCCTCCAACGACCTGACACCTTTTCCCCCAGGTCTGTGAAGGTAGCTGGCCCCGTTAGCTTAGGAGCTTTCTGTCTGCAGGCCAGTTTCTGTGTCCCACCAGCCTGCCCCCTGGCTTCTTCCCCGGGCCCAGACAGAAGCGAGTGCTCTGTCAGTCTAGTGATCAGCCCGAAGGCTAGAAGCCAGTTTGGGGTACTCTGTGCTTCCTAAATATGGGGAGTTCCATGTAGCCATTTTTATTGAAAAGCATCTCTTCAGCTAGAAGGGCCACTGGCCAGCCCCTTCTCGGAACCGTGGCCGCCTCCGGCTCTGGGGCCAGCCTGGATGTTTGCTCAGTCACCCTCCTTTCCGCTCCCAAGGGCTACTAAGCTGGGTCTCTCTGCATTGTGGGTTAATCAGAAGCATCCCCTCCTCCCCTGGCCTCCCCGAACTCTTGTCAAAGCCCAGGCCCCCCCAGGTCAGCTGGCCACACTACCCCATTCTTCCTGTCTCCTTCCGGCTCTTGGGGGGGCCCCTTCCCGTTGCCAGGAAGACTCCCGGTGGTCCACTTGGCTCTGAGGGCTTCGCAGAGGTTCGGGGCCCAAGTGCCATTGCGGTGCAGCTGTCAGACCCCGCGCGGGCGTCATGCTGTGTTCGCTGCCTGCCCTGCCAGCCCCTGCTGCCTTGGTGGGCTCTGGCTGCAGGGCGTCACTGGGACTGTCTCAGCTCTGAGGGGCAGCCTGGCCGGCACTGGCGGGGCCCCGGGACGACTCGGAAGGTGTGCTCCAGCCGCCGGCCGCAGCCACTGGGCGAGGCTCAGAAACAGCAGAGGTGGGATTAAAAGAGCGCTCACCCATCGGGAGCGCTGCGATCCGCCCTAACCCTTATACGGAAACACCAGAGGTTTCCTGCACTCTAATTCTGCAAATAAGGTTCCATCAGTGGCTACAAGAGATGCTTTAAATAGAATGCTGTGTTTTTATCTCTTTTTTAAAGATTTATTTTAGAGAGAGAGTGGGGGGAGGGCCAGAGGGAGAGGGAGAGAAAGAATCTCAAGCAGACTGCCTGCTGAGCACAGAGCCTGACGCGGGGCTCGATCCCACGACCCTGAGATCGCGGCCTGAGCTGAAGCTGAGTCGGACGCCCCACCGACGGTGCCACCCAAGCGCCCCTGTTTCTCTACCTTAGCACTGTCACCATAATACCTGTGATGACAGACGGTGTGTGAACCTGGAGTTGCCCTCCCCGGGAGAGGAGCGCTTAGGTCTTGTCCCGCGGAGGGTCCTGGGCCCCGGGGAAAGCGAAAGCCATGGTGGGACATGAGACGGGAGAAGCTGAGGCCCCTTGGGCCACCGAGAGAGAAAGAGCACTCCCGTGTCCACGTGTCGTGGGGAGGCCGCAGCGAGTGGCCCTGGAGGCTGCGCGGCCACAGCCACAGCGGGCGGCGGGGCGCATCGCCTGTCTGTCTCCACCCCAGGTTTGAGCTGATGCGCATGTGCTGGCAGTACAACCCCAAGATGAGGCCTGCCTTCCTGGAGATCATCAGCAGCATCAAGGACGAGATGGAGCCCGGCTTCCGGGAGGTCTCCTTCTACTACAGCGAGGAGAACAAGCCGCCCGAGCCCGAGGAGCTGGACCTGGAGCCCGAGAACATGGAGAGCGTCCCCCTGGACCCCTCCGCCTCCTCGTCCTCCCTGCCGCTGCCCGACAGACACTCAGGACACAAGGCCGAGAACGGCCCGGGCCCTGGCGTGCTGGTTCTCCGAGCCAGCTTCGATGAGAGACAGCCTTACGCGCACATGAACGGGGGACGCAAGAACGAGAGGGCCTTGCCCCTGCCCCAGTCTTCGACCTGCTGATCCTTGGCTCCCGATTCCCGTGCAGACAGTAATGTGTGTGCACGCTGGGTGGCGGGGGGTGGGGTGGGGGGGGGTGGGGGGGGTGGGGGGGGTGGGAGGGGAGGGAGAGAGTCCGAACAATCTATCCACAGCCTCCTGTACCTCAGTGGATCTTCAGGCCTGCCAATGCTGCCCATGGAAGACAGCTTGTCTGCAGTAAACACATTTGGGGTGTTCCTTTTTCCAATATGCAAGCAGCTTTTTATTTCCCTACCCAAACCCTTAACTGACACGGGCCTTTAAGAACCTTGATGACAACACTTAATAGCAACAGAACACTCGAGAATCGGATCTCCTCACGCTTTCCCCGTCACTTCACTCAGACCTGTCTCCCTCCCTTCCTCCTCCCCTCCCTTCCTCCCTCCCTCTCTCCCTCTTCTCTCTCTCTCACCTTTCTCTTTCTTTCTGCTTCCTAATGGAAAAACCTTTGCCCGAGCCCAGCTGGGACGCCCTTTTGATCAGAGTGAGGAACTGGCTGGCCCTCCCTGTGGCCCCACATTGCCCCCATAAACACCTGCCTGTCACCGTAGGTCTTTATAAAAACAACAAAAACAAAAACCACGTTGAGACGGAATTTTTTTAACTATATTTCACCTTTTTAGGGACATAGAAATTGAAAAAGGGCCATCACTCATTCAAGGTTGTTACCATTTTAATGCTGCCAAATTCTGCCAAAACCCTCAACTTCCTCCCTCCTGATCCCGGCACTTTTTTCTTTGTTTCCAGAGGCATGGGGCGAGCATGGTATCTAGTCCCGCCATTTAAGAGCCACGCTGAGGATGCACTCCATCTGATCACCCCTGGTGTTCTTTTCCAGCCTTACGTTCACACAGGTCTAGTTGCTTTTAAGTAGGTTATTATTTGGGGGAAGTGGACAGAATGGGATTTTTCTCTCAGTGGAGACTGGGAGAGGCTGAATTCCCTCTTCCTCAGCCCCACCTGCTAGCCCCCAGGAATTCTGGAGAAAACAGGCCCTGTCGAGAGCCCGGCAGACAGGCTTTGAGGAGCGGTCGTCCACGTGCCAGTCTCCTGTTCCCCCAGCTCGCCCCCCCGCCCCCGCCCCCGGCCCCCCAGGACACAGATGGGAAGGGATTTCCAGGGACTCAGCCCAACTGTTTATGCAGGTTTGCAAGGAAAGAAATTCAAACACCACCACAACAGTAAGAAGAAAAGCAGTAAATGGATTCAAGCATCCTAAGCTTTGTTGACATTTTCTCTGTTACTAGGACTTCTTCATGGGTCTTACAGTTCTATGTTAGACCATGAAACATTTGCATACACATCGTCTTTAATGTCACTTTTATAACTTTTTTACGGTTCAGATATTCACCTATACGTCTGTACAGAAAAAAAAAGCTGCTATTTTTTTTGTCCTTTATCTTTGTGGATTTAATCTATGAAAACCTTCAGGTCTACCCCTCTTCCCTTTCTGCTCACTCCAAGAAACTTCTTATGCTTTGTACTAGCGTGCGTGACTTTCTTCCTCTCTTCCCAGTAACTGATACTTCTATAACATAATTTGCCATGAACTGTTTGATGCCTTTTTATAAATACACCCTCCCCTCCCCGCTCCCCCTGCCCGTTAGTTACGTTCTAACCCGGAGGCTCTGTGGGCACGAGGCTGGCGAGGGCAGCAGGTGGGCACCCCCGGGGGGCAGGCCCTGGCATGCCGGCACCCCACTCCTCAGCCTGCTCTCACACAGCGCTGGAGTCTGGTACAGTGCAAGACATGATACAAACTCAGGTCAGAAAAAAAGGTTAAATATTTCGCACATCCTTGTTCAGTGTTTATAGTCACCCTTGTTGGAAAGTCTCACCTCCTCTTTCCCTCACCTTTGTTTTGGTTGTGACACACATATATCTATTTTTTTAATTCTTGGGTACAACAGCAGTTTTAACTGCAGAAACTAGGCATTTGGATTACTATTTTTTTTAACGGATATTTAATCCTTCCATCCCATGAGAAACAGCTGCTGAGTCCCAGGGTGTAGCAGAGTGGGGTCCAGTGGGCCCCTCTGTGGCTCCCGCCACCACCCTCCAGACCGACCTACCTGTCTTTAGAACCCGAAAATTCCCAGGCACCTCCTGGTGCTGGCGGGGAGGGGGCCGCAGGGGCAGCCTCTTCGGGCGGCGGCAAGCCCCCCGCCAGGTCTGCCGGCCCGAGGGCCCCGGTCGGGGCGAGCACCGCTGCGGTGGCCGGGGAGCCCCGTACTCGCTCCCAGGGGACCAGAGCCCTGGCGCTGGCTCGCTTTTCCTTGGCCAGGAATCCAAGTCCTCGGGGCCCGGGGGTCTTGTTTTGTTTAGTTTTTAGCACTTCTCACCAGAGTGATGACAGCACACGAGTTGCTTCTGGGATGGAAATGTTTAAATTATGAGTAAGAACAAAGCTCAAAGATGATGATTGCTAGTTGTGACTGGAGATTAAAGACGAGAAAGCAAGTGCGTAGTGCTTTTCTGCTTGTCGGGAGCTTCAGTCCTACGATTTTCTCAAGCCTCTGTCCCATAGTTTTTTCCCTTAAAAAAAAAAAATGAGAAAAAAGAAAAAAATTAAGGTATTATATGTAGGAGTTTTCTTTTAATTTATTTTGTGATACCAGTTTCAATCACTGTAGAGAAGCCCCATTATGAATTTAAATACTGAGAAAAGGGTTTTGTGTGTGTGTGTCTGTGTGTGTGTGTGTGTGTGTGTGTGTAAGACAGGACAGTTTTTGGGTTTTTTTGCTTTTGTTGGTTTGTTTTGGTTTTGGTTTTGGTTTTCAAACATTTATCTACCTCACTCTTATTTTTTATGTGTGTATATATACACAAGAATACATCTCACATTTCTCAGCACCTGACAACATGCCGTCGATACTGGTAACCTCATCCACCCCACAGGCCGCACGCGCCAGGCGAGGCAGGGAGAGGCCAGGCTGTGTCCGGGCTCGAAGCAACACTAATATCCCTCTCCACTCACGTCAGACAGCTTGCCTTTTTCTGAGATGTCTCGTTTTGTGTTGCTTTCGTTCCTCTCCTAACTTGGTTTCCTACGAGGCCCTGAGGTGTTAGGATTTCCTTCCTCCCGGCCCGGGGCGCCCGCACTCTGCTGGGAGGCCTCTCGGCTGCCCCCGGGCTGGCTGGCTTCGAAAGGGACTCCGTGCAGCCTGAAGGACAGACTCTGTCATTGGAAGAGCACTTGTTTCCTAGGCTGGGAGGACAGGAAGGACCTGGGGGGGTGGGGGGGCAGGCCGTCAGTCTCTGGGTTAGAGTCCCACCTGGAAAGGTGCGATGTTTGGGTGTGAGCCGCCGCTCCGGCCTCCGTGGGCCGGGCCTGCCCGAGGTGGGATTGTGCTGTCCCTGCGCTGGGTCAAGTTCGGTGGTGCAGCCACGTCAGCGCTTTTGAGAGCTCGGTCTGCCAGGCCTCCTGCGGGGGAACGCAGAGGTTCCTGACCTGCAGTCCCATTCAGGTTGTATAGAGGAGACAAGTGTCCCCCCCCCCCCCCCCCCCCCCCCCCCGCCCAGACTGTTTCTCAGCTTCACCCTCATCTCCTCCTCCCCCAGGGGAAAACAGAGACCAAACCTTTGGGCTGGAAAAGGCCGGTGGAGGGCGCCCAGCCTCTTTCCAGGGTGGTGTGTCTCCCACCAGGGCCGCGCCCCCATCCCGCCCTCCCGCTGCTCACGGGTGGAGGGCGCATAGCCCGACTCCAGCAGCTGCTCCCCCAGGCCCTGGTGACCCCATCTGGGAAAGGTGCTGGGGGTCTGCCCACAGTGGGCATGGCTCCTTTCAGTTCCAGCACCGCGGTCAAGCTCAGGAGCGCGCTTCCTCCTGCGAGAACACTACCCTCTTTTCCCAAGGCCCCTGGCACCTTAAGGTCACTGAGAAATACTGTTGGATCAGGGTTTTCTTCTTCCACACTGTAGGTGACCCCTTGGAATAGTGGCCACTCCTCTTTTGCACATACCTACCGGTTTCCACAACTGGATTTCTACAGATCATTCAGCTGGTTATAAGGGTTTTGTTTAAACTGTCCGAGTTGTTGGTGTCCCTTTGTTTTTGTTTTATGTAGGTGGATTTTCTTTAAGTAGAAAGAAAACACTAATAGTGTAGCGCCCATCATAACAAATGCTTCAGAAACACTGAAAGAAAAGAAAATTTTGCTTGTGTGATGGTGCAGTTATTTTACTGGACCAAACCACCCACCTTGACTATCCTAAGGCATCATCTATCCACAGTTCTAGCCTAATTTTGTGCTGATTTTCCCACCTCTTCTTGATTTTTTCTCTTTTGTATGCTCCACATAATCTAATCAAGCTGAGTTGTGGCATTTTCCATGCAACCTCCTCCTGAAAGCAGCTCACACTGCTTGAAGTGACGGGAACCACTGAGGCACATCGTCCATGTGCGCATTAAAACACGAGCACACACGGCCCTTCCCTGAGGCAGCAGGAGCTGGTGCGTTCTGGAGACACTGTCGAACTTCAGCTGTGTGAGCCCCAGAGCACCCCAGCTCTCCTTCATGGGATCTCATGATGTTTGACACACAGTTGGAATGAGCTTCCTCCACGGAAGACAGAAGACCGTGTTCGTGGCCAGCACTGGCCTCTCCTTCCAGCCTCTTTCTTAGGACTTGGGACATTTCAATGGGAGGAAACGTGGCTTGGTAAAATAGAAAAAAGTGCTTACTGTGGAACCACCCGACAGCAAAATGCTTGGCAGGAGGTGACGTGCTTTGGTTGGGATAACAGATTGCCGAGCCAAGCACGATGCCAGACTCTAGGCCAGTTTGTTCCACCGAAGCCTCTCTGTCGGCGGCTCACCCCCACGGGCAAGTGGCTGTGCGTGATGCAGGCTGCTGTCATGGCAAGGCCACACGAGCTCAGATCAGTGAGGAGGCTAGGATGCTCGGTCCCAGGTCCGCGGCTGTCACTGCTGGGTCCCCCTATGGTGGCCAGTGTCAAAGGCAACTCCTTTCCAAAACACAGGCACCCTCCAGTTGGCAGTAATGTTCCACAGCACGTCTTGGCCCATTCCAGCAGTCCCA